AGTTGTTTAGGTGTTGGTAAGGTAAGCGTCTTTCGCTCGGCTTTCTCTCATCACGATGGCGACGATTAGATTGGCGACGCTAAATGTACGTGGGCTTTCTGCCAAACGGCGGCAAAACCAGCTTTACCGCCTGATTATAGAACAAGATCTGGACATCGTCGCTGTACAGGAAACTAAAGTAGAGAGTGAAGAGCACGCTGAGCGAATGGTGCAGCCTTTCACGAGAGTGTTTGATGTGTGCGTTTGTCACGCGGTGGGTGCGTCTGCAGGTTGCCTCTTGTTAATTCGGCAGAGCCTTAATGCGAAAGTGGAGTCTGTAACTACCTGCGAGGCGGGTCGTTTTATTATACGTGATTTATCCCTACAAAGAGAAAAATGGAGAGTAATCTGTGTGTACGCACCGGCTGTGATTCAAGATCGAAAGGAGTTTTTTTGAAAAACTTGATGTGTATTTAAAATGTGAACGTAAACTAATTTTGGCTGGGGATTTCAACTGTGTTTGTTCGAGTATAGATAAATCAAGTTCCAGGCCATACAGAGATTTAAGCACTGCCGTTCTAATTGATATGGTGGCGAAAGCTCAGCTAGAGGACGTGGGTGAATGTCTTTGCAGTGGAAAAGGGGTTATGTTTACCCACTTTCAGCGTTCAAGCCATGCTAGACTTGACAGAGTATATGTGTCTTCCGAAATCATTCCTTCGTGCCATGATTACAGAGTTACACCTGTTACGTTTAGTGATCATTGTTTGGTTTCATTCTCAATGGGTAAACATAAAAGGAATAACAAACATGTCTCTTGGGACCTCTGGAAATTTAATGTAAAGCTACTAAAGGATGAAGAGTTTAATCGGATTTTTCTAGAGGGCATAGAAGACTTAGCAAATAGAACACTTGAATCCTGGGGACATAAGTGGGAAATATTTAAACAGACCATTAAACTGAAAGCACTTGAGAGAGCCAGTATCCTGAGACATGCTGAAAAAGAACTTGAAGTGCGTTTGCGTGAAAACTTGCAACAGTTAGTAGCGGATGAATGTACTCAGGCCGGAACATTTTCAGAGGAGATAAACATAACTAAACAGAAGCTAGAGTTGATAGACCAAGAACGTTATCGTGGAGCATTGATTCGAGCTCGAGCAGAAAACTTGGTAGCGGGAGAAACGCCAACAAAACGAGCTCTTGGAGCTGAGAAGAGACATGCCTGTAAGAATGAAATAAGAGAAATAGAATATAAGGAACAAGGTGCCATACGAAAGAAGCAATAGCCGGTGCTTTTTTCGAATATTACAAAGAGTTATTCACACCAACCAGTGTACACGCAGAACGTTTTAATAGCGATTTCATTTCATTAATGCCAAGACTTGATGACGAAAGAAAGAAAACTTTAGAATTGCCTATAACAGAGCGAGAAGTTGAAAAAGCAATTGATAAGTTAAACAATGGTAAGTCTCCAGGACCAGATGGCCTTAGTGCTGCAGTGTACAAGGAATTCAAACACGTAGTTTCACCTATTTTGAGGGAGGTATTTAACGAGGCTTTTAAGTGTAAACAACTTCCACCATCGTTTTTGTCAGCCCACACGGTCTTAATACCAAAAACAGAAGATCCCGCGAAGTTAAGAAGTGTTACTGCATATAGACCAATTAGCCTAACTAATGTTGACTATAAAATATTGATGAAAATATTGGCCAGAAGACTCCAGACAGTTATGACAAAACTGATTGGGCCACACCAAACTTGTGGCATAAAGGGAAGGAAAATAATGACCAACATAAACATAGCACGATCAATCCTAGAAAGTTGTGACGTTATGCATCTCAATGTTGCCATGCTTCAAATTGACCTCGAAAAGGCATTTGATCGCGTGCCGCACGACGTGCTCCTTTCATTACTTGAGCACATTAACGTAGGGAGTTTGATTAGCGAAGGGGTGCGCATGGCTTACACTGGATGCACGACGAGATTGGTATTAAATAAAACTGCGGGTGAGCGTATACCTGTGCTGCGGTCAGTGAGACAGGGGTGTCCACTATCGCCCCTGCTTTTTGCTATTTTCATTGAACCTTTCTGCTTAAGTGTAATTAATAACCCTGCAATATGCGGCTTTAAACTGCATGAAGCTGAGGTCAGCCTCCTCGCATACGCAGACGACATTGCAGTTTTCTGTACAAATTATGAGAGTATAATGCATGCTGTAAATGCCGTGAAAACTTTTTGCCAAGCGAGTGGTAGTGCCGTGAACTGGGATAAGTGCCTTGGCTTCTGGCATGGGGAATGGGACGTCACGCCAAGAGTATTTCTAAACATTAAATGGCAGGAAACACCAGTGAAGTATTTAGGAGTGCCGCTGGAGTTCTATCATGACAGTGAACCGTATTGGAAAAAAGAAACACAGGCATTGCGCAATGATGTAGAAAAATGGAAAGGTTGGGGTGTTTCGATATTCGCACGGGCCACAACATGCAACTTGTTTCTGGTGAGCAAGCTGTGGTACGTAATGCAGGTTTTGCACTGCAGTAGAATAAGTGTACAGAAAATACACAGAGTATTTGCAATTTTCATATGGAGCTCTGTATGGGAAAGATCAAGCCGCACAAACCTTTTCAGAAAAGTTAGAGATGGTGGACTCGGATTAGTTCATTTGTACATAAGACAACTTGTCAATCGTTTCCTTTTTCTGCGTGATGTGGATGACCCCTTTTTGAGAACTGTTATACAACTAAGGTTATCTAGAGTGCTGCCGGGATTTCTCGTATCATCATCAAATATGCAAGGACCAATACAAGGGTATTTAAAAGAAGTTGTTTCGTCTTTCCGCTTTTTGTCAGTAAGATTTTCGTTAGAGTATCTGGCTGAAGTACCACGTAAAAAATTGTATAGAGACCTTGTCGATGTTTTACTACCTGTTCCATTGTACCGTCAGCTATATTGTGCAGGCCCAGGACAGGATGTTCTGAAAAGTGTTAAAAGAATGCTTGTAGCGCCAGGGGTCAAAACTTTTTCTTTAAATTACATACTGGTACCTTACCAGTTAAAACGTGGTTGCAGGATAAGGGAATATTCGTGCCATGGAGCACAAATTGCCACTTGTGTAATAAACCGGAAACAATTGAACACGTGTTTATAGATTGCTGGAGCGGGGTCTTTTTCTAGGATATACTGCAAAGAACCTTGAAAAAAGAATTACCGTCAAATCCACATGGCATCCGTTTTCTTTCGGTTAAAAACGAGGCAGGTGTACCTTATGATCTTATCATGCTTCTGGGCCTGCACAGTATATGGAAAACCCGATGTGCCTTTGAAAACGCGGATGTAGAAGTGCTAGCTGTGCGCCAATATTTTTGCAAATCTGTGTGCCATTTTCTTGAAATGCTGAAAAGCCAAGAGGATGTGCCAGACTGGATTGGGTGCATTGAGCGATTGTTACGAATGCCCAAGTATTGATTAATAGTCAGCCAAGAGCTGACGGTACTTCAATGAATTCTGTGGGTGTATTTTGTGACACACTTGAATATGGACCAATATGTAAATATGTAAAATGTGAACAGTCATGATTTGCAAGGCAATAAAGAAAAAAAAAGCGGTTTCGTAGCCGAGTGGTCTGACGCGTTGCTCCGGAGAGTTCACCGTAGTTTTGAAGTGCATGGGTTCGAATTCACGTGGTGCCATTTTTTTTATAATTCTTACGAGTTCAATTCGAAATCTTGTTTTTTTTCAGTAACTTCAACTTACTTACTGACAGCTTTAATGTGCGAAGCGTCGAAAAAATTCGCGCAGGAGAGGTGGTCGAGGACGCAGAGCTGGACGCCATTTTTTCGAAGCTGCGACAACAAGTAAAAAAAACGGTGGCGCGGGTCGCGCGGAAAGCAAAAACCTGATACGAAAGCGACAAACATAAATTACCAACTCGTATATTTGGATTGTTTATTCGACAACACAGGCGTTTGTTTTTTAACCTGATGACAAATATGTATGCTTAGAAGTTTCCAGAGAAGCATTTATTGATTCTCGTACACCCCAAACGACGCACTACTTTTTGGTCGCGGCAGTACACAGCGCAAACAAGAGCGCTAGCTTTGACAGCGTTGCACATGATGTATGAAACGGAGTATAGAAGAGGCACACACAAGTAACTCTAAGAAATGTAGCGTTTAATCACGCTGCGCTGACAGTTCAACGCGATGCTCAAAAAGGTGTTTCCGACGCTTTGCTGCGATGTCACGGTGATGGTGGCACCTGCCCGTAGCTTTGCGTTCTACTCCTTATCACCTCCGAGACTGGCGCGCATCTTTCTCCGCGGGCTGCACGCCTTCGTTTTCGAAGATAACTGCCAGATGGCACTTGTGTTTAACGTGCCTCGATGCGCTCGTTCGCCTCCGCTACACGCTCGAGACACTCTAACGCAGCGCCTGCAGAATATAAATCGCCAATTTTCTTGCGCAGAACATCAATTAAACGTTTTGTTCACTCTCTTCAGACGCAAGACTGCCGTCTTTCGACGACATTTGCGGTGTAACATGCAGATTTGGAACCAATTTTTTTTCTTTGGCTCTCGCCCCTAGGGGCGTTGTACCTACCGTGAAAAAGGTCCATCGTGCAATTTTGTAATGTATAACAGCTAATTAATTTAAGCGAAACAGTGCAGAATGATTGAGTACTAACGAAAAAGAACATAACACTGTGTTTTGCTTACATTCACAGTGAATCTGACTATGATAGTGCATTTCTGCTTCATGAACCAACCTGACTGATCTTTAGCCCCATTCATGAGCAAATCGATGCATAAGTTTATATAAGCAACGCCAGAGTTCCCTGGAAAGCTATAAAAGCACTGGCAATTTGCATGATTCCGTGCAGGCGCCTCTCTTATATTTGCATACTGCAGATGGCAAGAGTCACAATATCACACGTCCGCATCTCTGGTGACATGCCGGGAAAAAAGATTTCTGCAGATCGATATTGCAGATTGACCTACCGAAGGTATTTGAGAAGTAACAGAATTTCAGCTAAAGCCTACGCAGCAATGGTAAGACACCCTGACAACACATATCTGAGGAAGAGTCAGAAAAGCGTTAATGCTTACCACCATACGTCAGCGATTTCATTTTTGTATGCCATGCTCAGCAACCTTTGTGCACTGCTTTCATTTTTCTCCATGATGATGCTGGGAAGCGCGAGATAAGCAAAATACATGAGAGAAACTAAACAATAAAGCACTTGTCTTCTCCAGTTCTCGTGTATTTTGTGTGTTTTGTGCGCTCAACTACCATCCCAGGTCAATACGAATTCGCCCAGATTTCTGCTCTTGTAAACTTAATTTTGTTTCACTAGTTTATGCAAGTGCCATCTAGCTTGTCTCAATGAAGTCACTGTGAGTAAAGTTAGTTAAATATTACTAATTCAGGTAATAATTATTATTTATCATTATAATTATTTCAATATGGCCAGCTCCTCTGCCTGAAAGCCATGGAAACAGTAAAGCCCATGCCACCTTTTGTAAGGCTATCACATTTCTTTGTTCTGCAAGTCTTTTTCTAGCTGTGTGGGTTGTATCACTGTTCTTCATTTGTTACGCTTCGTTATCTGTACACTATGTATGTTAATATGTGTACTGTAATCCTTCGAATGACGGCTTCTGCGCATTGTGTATAGACAAAAAAAAATCTCTGAATTTCGCGTGTGATCTTTCTCCGCCCACTTTTCTTTATATTGCTTTGGTGCAATGAAACCTTCAGTTGTTAGCACTCGTCCTGAGTGTTTCTTCGCAGTGTCTAATCTAGTTCGCGTTGTTTTTAGCGTTTACAGTGTGACCAACTAGCCCAACAAACCACACTTTAAGACTAAAGAGTGTCCCAGGGACGAGATTGCATTGTTAATAAATATAAAAATAAGTAACCTTTTCATTAGCATTCAGATGCGAATAAAGAAGATACCCTGGGAAGCACTGAGCTAAGATATAAAAAGGTAGTGCATAAGTGACTGCTGTCGTCATCGAAGTATCACCCTTGGTCGCATGTGTTGCCACTACGTTCTCTGAGACAGCGCTGATGCTTTACTAATGAACATAAGCTGCAACATTTCTTAAGTAACTTATTACTAAAACAGCTTCGACCAATTTTGTAGCACGTCGATAGCGTGAACGGGATAACCTACACCTACATTCCCGACACTGCATTTCTGGAATATCTGGCGCGGGAGACTTACCTAATAATTTTAAAAACAATCAACTATTTGCTATGTTATCATACCAGACCACCCTAATATTTCTGTTACATATCTTTTAAATTCCTGAATCATAGGTATGCACTCTGCTCAACAGTCTCGAATTTCTATCCAAACAGAAACAGATTACTGAATTTATGATGATGTTTTTACTTGGGAGGGAGGGGGCCGTTAGAGATGCCTTATTTATGAAATGTTTTGCATATCGCACTTTTGCTTCATCTAACTCTACACTGTATTTATTAATGTTGCTTTTTGAGACCATGCCTGGTTTTAAAGACCACAGTTTCATTACTCACATATGCATCATTGTTTCTTTGCATACGTTATGGTATCAGCCCGAAGACTTAGCCGAAAAGTGCAAGATGAAATGCTGCTATGACAATCTCCGTCTAACATGGTGCCGAACAGTAGATGTCTTGGAAGGCATGACATGCGTAGGAGAACACGTAAGTGGCATTACCATTGTTTGATCAAGTAGCTCCAAGAGACAAGGTGGTACAAATGAAATTAGATATTGCTACATTTGAACAGATTCAGTGGAAGAGTCATAAACGCTAATATTTTTGCGCATTCCTTCAAACTTATCAAAATATCGTCCTATCTAACTTAAGCTATTCTATACCAACATGCCCGCTCTCCAGCCTTGGCCAGAATATTATATTTTCGATATAGGCAGTTCAGAAATATTCCTTATAAGGGCCACCAAGACAACTCGCAAATTCTGGCATCATTTCACACATTTTGTCAATCAGCTACTTCGTACTGCCAAGAGAATTGCACATCCATCTATCTATCCATCTATCTATTCATCCATCTATCCATCTATCTATCTATCCATCTATCTATTCATCTATCTATCCATCTATCTATCTATCTATCTATCTATCCATCTATCCATCCATCTATCTCTATCTATCTATCTATCTACTTATCTATTTATGCGTTTGTCTGTCCGTCTGTCTGTCCGTCTGTCTGTCCGCTCCCAACAACGGAAATGTGCATGGCGTTCACATTATACGCACATCACATGGATGTCTTATTTGTGTTCAGGCCAGCTGAACTTTTGTCTCTGCCCTGATAACCTAACAAACACCACGCAAAAGCACATGCGAAGTTAACAGAGTGGCTACACAACTGATGATATTGATAAGATGCTTATTCAAGCATCTAAACGTGTCACAAAGAGGGTTCCACTTAATTTGGGGACGACGCAGCGGGCAATGGAAAGGAAAATTACACGTGTAATCCTAACGTTGAAGAGGAGAGCAGAGTATCAGGGAACAAACGGGTGCAAGGAATCCGTAGTCGAAATCAAGACGAAGAAATGGACATGATCTGGGCACGTAGCGTGAATGCAAGACACCTCCTGGCCAATAAGGACTACAGAGTGGATTCCAATGGAAGGCAAGTGGGTTAGGGGGAGACAGAAAGTTAGTTGGGCGGCTGAGATTGGGAACTTTGCAGGTCTTGCTTGTCTTGCAGTGGTTTTAGTCAAGCTGATGATGATGATGACGACGACATATTACAGCAAATGACTAGGTGGACACTGGAAGAGATGCAACGTATGAAGTATCGAAATTTCGCATGTTGCCACTGGACCATGGCATGGTACCCCCGCGGTTACGAAGGACACCACCATGCTTGGTATGCAAGAACAGTGCAAACAAAAAAAGAGACACGGACTGAGGGAGAGACGACACAGGTGCTTAACTACACAGCACCTGTGTCGTCTCTATCAAGTCCTTGTCTTTTATTTCTGCACTGTTCTTACACCAAGCATAAGCCACCAACTAGCCCCCTTTCTTTATTAGACCACCCTGTCTCGCCACGGGGGTCTAGTGGCTAAGGTACTCGGCTGCTGACCTGCAGGTCGCGGGATTGAATACCGGCTGCGGCGGCTGAATTTCCGATGGAGGCGGAAATGTAAGCCCGTGTGCTCAGATTAGGCGCACGTTAAAGAACCCCAGGTGGTCGAACCTTTCGGAGTCCTCCATTATGGCGTCTCTCATAACCATATGGTGGTTTTGGGACGCTGAACCCCACATATCTACCAGTCGTTACGATGTTTAATTGAGGGTGATGTTTGTTACAAAATATAGTAACCGCATTTACAAAACCTCGATGATTTGTTGTATAAAAATGTTTAATTAGCACAGGAACAAAGCAAGGGCTAGCCTACAAAAATTCAAAAATACTAGGCATGCAAGCATGCAACACCAAGTCATGACACCACAAACGGCATTTGTGCTGTCGTCGTTCTTTCTTGTGTCCATGTTCACAAGTGTTTCTTCATTTATTAAATGTTAATGCCAATAAGTTCCAGCTTTGTTATTTAACATAGAAAATTGATTTAAATATTTCTCTTGGTGATCTAAAAGCGAACGAGTTGGGCAACAAAGTTGGTTTGGAAAACAAGCGAAACTTCGCAAAAATAAATTTCAACCTGTTGTTCCACCCATGTTTGTGTTTAAAGTAAGCTGAAACATCTTCGCAACAGTTTCATTAAAAAAATAAAACTGATGCTTGTGAAAGTAATAAAGAGCAGCTCCAAAAATGCGTTTTAAAAAGTAAGGAAAGCGAGTACATTATTATTCACATCCCGCTGTTTCGTATAATTACATCAAAGAATGGGATTTTAGCATTCCAATAAAAATAATTGCATTTATCGTACCGAAATTCTGAGATATAGATGATCATTCGCTTGCAAGCAGTACCACTAAAATCGTTTTCAATGTTTGAAAACAATTTAGTGGTTCGAAACAAGCTGCACCGTTCCGTATACAGTGTTGCATACTGCACATTCCATTCAATTAGTTTAGGTTATCATAAAAAAGAACAGATTCAGTGCACACATTCTAATATAATTTTCACAAATTCTACTATTCCTTTCCTTTCTGCCTTTTCAGACATGCAGAAGAGGAATCTGTGCTAACCACACGTGGGCAGAAAAATAAAGAGGAGATCAGGGCTCTCACGAGCAAATTAAAAAAGTTTTTTTTTTTCTTATGCTGCTTCAGAGGTAATTTGTTTATTTGGTCAATAAAATTATACATCGCTGCTGCGCTTCCAATGCACAACCTAATAAACTATGACCACGTAGCAATTTCGAAACTCGTGTTCGTTTAATTTTTAGAGTGAAAATGTTCGGTGCTTTCGTCCACATTATCTAAAAGTTACAAAAAACGGAGCTTTTTGTTGCTGACAACATGATCTGGCCCGCTCCAGCGATGTTTTGCCATGGTCCTCATGTCACCTAACTACCTGAAACTAATATTGTGGCTAGTCTGCAGTTGCATACCGCTCACTGTGCTCGGCTGCTGGCCCCAATTTCACAGCTTCGACCCCATGACCTTCATACGCGTGCCTCAAGCCTTTCACCTCCATGGAAAGTATAGCCGCCTCGGTTGGAATTATATTCCGCGACCTGCGAGGCACCAGTAGATAACCGTTAAACCACCGTGGCGCTTATTCTTCCGTTTCCGTACGCTTGTAGCAGTCGCCTTCCCTCCGCATGCTTCGGTTGTCGACTGCTATGGTACGTGGAATCTGTCGATTTCTCGCATGGTCGGGAAGGCGATGACTTGACTTGCCGAGAGAGAGGACCTTCCACGCAAAAGGCATACCATTCTGTACTTTCTGTAGCATTTTCTATTTTTTTCTGCATCTGTTGAACACCCTGAAGAATGCTTCACTTGATACGGTAGCGCTAAACTCCAACAGAAACGATAAGAGCCAAAAAGAAGTAGGAAAGTTGGCAGTTTACTCTGTCCAATCAAGTTTTACACTTCAAAGTCATGTCATTCAGTGAGTACCAACTGGCCTCCCAGAAAAACTAATTGTGGAACGAAACCACGAGAGCAAAGCAGCTAGGACACAAGCAAAACATATTTAACGGCACAACTGTTTTGTTGTTATGGACACTATTGTTGAAGCAGTGCTTGTTTATTTTATCTGGCCTAATTTCATTCAAACAGATGCTGTCAGAGGCTTACTGTTATTCTAAACTACTTTGCTGAAGTTTTCGATATCGTCTTGAGTAGCCCCATTGTGACGATTCTTTATACAAGTTAAATATACTTCAGCGCGCCTTACGCTCGTGTGTGAATTAGTGCCACATAAGCGCGCAATTTAGCTCAACATGGGCGTCTAGCTTTTTTTTTTCATTGAAATGAGATCACAGAGACATGAACTGAACGCACCATTTTTGGTCCAGCAGCTGAGCGCCATAACCACTCCTCAATCACGGCGGAACCCTACGAGCTTCTTAACATCGGAAATTTTAATATACAATATTTTGGCTGAACTTTCAATGTCCTCTGAGACAAGACAGCCTGCAAATGGTTTTCTTACGGAAATTGGAACTTGTTCATTTATATTAGGTCACAAAAACGGTCTTGCACGGTTATTTTTTTTCACACGAAGGCTTTTGATGTATTATTTCTCGGATAAGTGATTAAGTTCACCGACTGAAGTAAGACACAGCACGCTTGTACCCAATATTTCTGCAAGAAACGCATATTAGTGCCGCAGTAGAATATCTTTGTAATATCAATACAAACCTTAAACGCACGGAGATTTATAAACAGTGCCGGTCAGAGAGGTAATATTAGTGTGTCAAATTTCTAGAATCAGTAAGTAAAAGAGCAGGCCGTGTACGAAGCAGCGCATGACTAAGTTGTCCAGTGCATGTAATGCTTACTAACGTATTACCCACAGAGAACAATATACTGTCCACAAGAAGAAATTTCTTTGCTGGAAACTAAGGCAAATGCTGTCTTGATAAAATCTAACTAGGTTTTCGAAATAGGCCACACAAAAGCACAGGAGAGTTCATTATCCGATCTGAAGCACACAGTGCTGTACCTTCATAATAAAAAGAAGAAAATATATTGCAAAATAATTCAAGCAGACATGAAGGAATCCTACCAAAATCTAGTCAAAATGGGCGAATAAAAACTATGTTGAAAAAAACTAGCGAGTCTAGTCAGTTTTATAGACATTGGCAAGATGTCGAGGTCCCTAGAAATTTGGACCATCGTGTACCTATAAATCGAAGTCCAAGAGCATCTGACATTTCACTTCCAGTGGCCGCTGTGGTCTAGATTCAGTCTCTCGACCTTTTAGATAGCGGTCACGTCTTACTCACTACCATTTCAGTGAAGCTAAAATCATTTTCAGCCATGAAGAACGTAAGAAAAGATGAAGTCACCCCCACAAGTGATAAATGGTATTTTAAAAGACATGGGGGAACGTTCACAGCAGCTTAAAAAGTCATGCTCGTGCTGTCACTAACAGTTGTCACTTACCAATATATTTCCCTGCAGTACAAGCATTATCGGTGACAAAAAAACGCCCTTTTTATTACCTTTCTAAAGTTCAGCTTGTGTTTTCCTGCTTTTTTATGAAGTATCTGGTAGCTTTTTATTTAAATTTTTATGACTACCCACACTATCATGCAAAAGTCCACTTTAGAGAAGATCATCACGTTATAAAAATCATACGCACTTCAACCACATTATTATTATACGTCTGAAAACGGTTTCCCAAACACAAGGACACCGCCTTATGAGTCAAAGCTAAATTTTCGCTAAATTTAACTCACAAAAACTTCTAAACAAAACGCTTGATTTTAACATCACAAAATGGTTCACGTGAAACAGGAACTAATTCTCGGTTTAAAAATCACTTTGTTTTTGATTACATTAGGCGTCCAATTGTTGCAATACATGCGTAAGAATAGTCTTAGGCATTTAGTAGCAATTAAATTTAGGTCTTTGAAATCACTTTATTGTAAATGCTAGAAACGATGACTGCAGATGAGGCAGTCTCAGTATCTGCCCACAAGTTTTATCGCATGCAGCTCATCTGGTTAACCTAATTAACCCAAACAATAAACCAAGCCGAAAATCAGCCTTTCTGCCAGCGCATAAGGAATACAGGTGCCCCAACAAGCTCACATAAAAAGAGAATATGAAGGGACGTAGACACAATGAGGCGTTCACCAGCGGAAACTGTGAAAAATTGCATTTATGAAAGAAACGGCACATACGTTCATATGATTATTTTCAAAGAAGTCTTTGTGGCTTTACATTTGTATCGATGTGTCAAGCAAATACAACTTCTTGAAAATTAGCACATACGTGAAATTTACCGATGGGAACCGGCACGATAGCTCACTTGCCTTGCGGAAGCAGATTTTTGAGTGTTTCTTTTCTATTGAAACCGACGCATGTTTTTGAACGGCTACCTTTATCAATAATAATAATAATAATAATAATAATAATAATAATAACATTCCTAATGTCGATAATTTGCTGGGGTTTTGTGAGCTAAAATCGCGACGAAATTTTGCGAGGCGCCGTAGCGAAGGGCTTCGAAAATTTCGACCACTTGGAGCTCTTTAACGTGCCCACAGATATAAGTACAGGACTCTATCATTTCCCCTCGAATGAAATTTTATCGCCCCGGCCAGAATTCAATCTCGCAACATTCGCTTCAGCAGTCGAGCTCAGACATCACGGGGCGTAGCATCAGTGTGGACAGCCATCCACAAAAGGGCAAGTGATCAACTTGGATACTGTTTTGTTAGCTGTGTAAAAGGTCATCTCCTCCCTGCTTATCTCGTACTGTAAACTCATCACCCATTGTATCATTCGCGTTTGTCATGCTCTTATTGGTAAAGTCCTCTTTTCCGCCTGCCTGGTCTTTGAGAGTGCAGTATTATTAAATAAACATAAATGCCTTCCGATGTCAATCTGTCACATTTACGACGTCCACGCTTAAGAATACTGCTCTGGTCAAGCCGCCCACTGCGGGTCCCACAAAATGTTAAGAGCTTCAAATTAGTTTGCAACTATCATTGAGATGAGGCACATGAAAATTGTTGGAGGTCCGGAAGTGATAGGGATTTTTTTAGGGCTGTGTCACGTCGTCTTTTCCTTCGCCCGTGAGTCTTTTAGTCATTTTACAGAGTATCTATATCATGTACATTAGCAACTTGGATTAGAATGAAGTTCTTACATTGCTGAGTTGCTTTTTTTTATTCTCTATCTGATTTACTTTCCTGTAAAAAGAAAAGAATTCACCGGTCTCACCATGCACATTCGAACAAAGCTCTTTGTCTATCTTGTTCAAAGCAATAATTGTCTCCACTGAGGTGAGAAAAAAATTGCACAAAGCGCGCAAGCTTAGAGTTGAAATCTGGGCTAGTGATTGGCTGCAAGCGAACTGAAATATTTTGTCCGTCAAAAGCCTCTAATTCCTTACATTTTATAAAACTTATGTATTCTATTGTGCAAAAATATTTTCATATTTCAGTGGAATGACAAGTGTACAATTCTTCTGGCCACTAAAATATGTCGCGTGTAATTATGTCTGTGTGACATCAGCACTCGAAAAAAAATAGTTGGTAAACAGAGGCAGAGTGCATGGACGAAGCACTATACCAACTGTTTACGTCCATGGCGACTATTTTTTGTGCACTTTGATAATATATGTACACATATAGCCCACATATTGTCACGTGCAAGTTCATCTATGTATTTTCCGCTTTGTACGTCTCCACTTGAAGCGATTCCCCACCAAAATTACTTCAAGAAATTGTCGATGAAAAATAACAGACAACAATTCCAAGGAAGGTATAAGGGAAGTTTATATGTAGTGAATGTAATACAAATTAAAAGATCAGCGGACAAAAAGAGAACTATCCTTTCGTCCGCTTTTTTTTTTCTTCACATTTACATACATCTACTACAAATAACACCTCCTGTACATTTCTTGGCATGATTGTCTGTTAGTTCTCGTCAATGTTGTGCCTAATAAAGAACAAGCCCTAAATGTCAGCACCTCTTCCTTTCACCCAAAAAATTGTGTTGTAGCAGTGGAATTAAATGAGAGCCACAAAGAATCTTTCAGTGCTATCCCAAGGATCTTAATAGGGTCAACTTCAGCTGTTTCTCCACCACTTGTATTTCCTGTGCGGCACATGGAAATAGTAATCCTGAGGATGTTAGTTGGAGCCACACATGGACGTGGCAGCGAATTTGGTGCGTTTATTTTGTGTTCGACTCTTAAGACTCTTAACTGACTGCCCCGCTGTAGTGGTCTAGTGGCTAAGGTACTCGGATCACAAGTGGCGGGATCAAATCCCAGCTGCGGCAGCTGCATTTTTGATGGAGGCGAAAATGATGTAGGCCCGTGTGCTCACATTTGGGTGCACGTTCAAGAACACTAGGTGATCGATATATCCGGAGCCCTTCACTTCGGCGTCTTTCGTAATTATTTGGTGGTTTGAGGACGTTAAACCCCGCATATCAATCTATCTGGACTGACTGCAAGATGTTTTTTAATAGTTATTCTTTGCTGTAACATTACTTTGAATGTTTTTGCTGATTTTATTACTTGTTCAGTTGAAAGGACTTTGAGTCAGTCCTTGATTCATTCCTGATGTCTCGAACCAATTTTTTTTTATCAGATAAGGAAGTTTTTATCTACCCGAACATCGTCGAAGAGCGAACGACTTCGGGAAAGTTAACCCTACGACTCAACGATGACATCACCCTCAATCTCGAAAGGAGCTCGGTGTTGGCAGAAAACCTTCGATTTGTTACAAACTACAAGGGCGGACACGTCTTGTCAACGGTAAAAACTCTAGCTACAATAATTGAATCAGTTTGTCTCTTTTCCATACAAGTTCTTTTCACTCAATAACTTTTTTCTTGCCCCTGAACTCGCATTTTATGCCTTTCAAAGGATAATGGGAACGGTGAACTGCTCTTTGGTGTGATTCTTGGACTGCCTGCTTGTTTGGAAAGTTGAGGAACGTGTGATCTGCAGAGATTTTGGCGAAGTCCACTTGGCGGGAGCTATCGTGTTTTCTAACGAGTGGGTGGGGCTATTCCTTGTGTGACACAAGAGTCAGGTTCCTGTTTCCGAGGCGTTTTCAGCCCGTCTTAATTATTGCAACTACTTTAGGAAGAGTCCTGAAGTGACGTGCCACACTACAGACCGGACGATGGAGCCATGGCTGCACAAAGGCTGCCCCTCGTACATTAGTTGGTTGATATGGCCACACCTAAACTACCTTTTATTCAGCACGTCGTAGCCAGGCAGTCTAACAACTCGCTAACCTTTTTTTTTACTGCTCGTGTTTTATGTTGTAAACGTATATTTGATGTCTGTTTTATTTGTTTAGAAAAATAAAATTAGCGCATATAGTTACTTCACGTTCCCAATTGTCACACTGTAACTTCGATTCTCCCTCACAGTCTCTCAGTTCTATTGCGGGGAAACGTGAGGAGTCCTACACAGTACGAGAAGTCAAGTTGCTAAAAACTATTGTCTGTCATTTCAGATTGACACGTCTTCTATTCAGGAGAACCTCTATCAGGATCCTCAATGGCAGTCATCCCTTAAAGTCGTCCGAAAGGATGGAGGCGTCCAAATTGTAAGTTCAATTCTTGACATATGTGCGCAAGTCTCATTCCTATGTACATATTAGGACATTTATAAATGGCTATCTGAGGCATTTGGTCTGACCAGCATAAATAAAAAATCATGCTGCGTCGGTTAGGAGGGGATCAATCCGTAGCATTTATAGCGTTTTAAAGCACTACACTGTATTTCTTATTTTTGAACAAGTAAGCGATTTGTAAAGCTTCATTTTACGTTGTACTTTAAGGGTTCTTTCAACGCGTTTTCATACATTCATCGAAAGTTTCGCTGAAGAAATTCATTGCATCACGAGTTGACTGCTCCAAAAAAATTTAGAATCATTTGAGTACGAGTGATGTTACAGGCATGCATATATGTTCTTGAAGGGCTTTTCTTTTTTCTTTGTACCAGTGAGTGTGCTGAAATCTACGCAAAGGATAAGAAAAGGGGACAATAAAATGCGACCATTAGACATCACGTGCCATTACCTTAAGTTATCTTTGTTTTTTTAGAACCCGTTTATATGTGGGGTTTTACGTCCCAAAACCACCATATGAATATGAGAGACACCGTAGTGGACGGCTCCCCAAGTTTCGACCACCTGGGGTTCTTTAACGTGCACCCAAATCTGAGCACACGGGCCTACAACATTTCCGTCTCCGTCGGAAATGCAGCCATAGCAGCCGGCATTAGATCCCGCGACCTGCGAGTCAGCAGCCGACTACATTAGCCACTAGACCACCGCGGCGGGGCACAGGGCCCACATACATGACTGAACGAGGAAAAACTACGCATCTGTAATTGTTGCCTTGAACAGCAACGCCATTCTGGTCGTCTGCATGTTATGCTCCTCAGTGCTTGAGTTTCGATTTTGTGATTGAACTTTTCCAAATTTCATAAAGCTACAATTGCTACACGCCACTTTTTTTTTAAATCTCGAAGCACCAGTGAATTCGTCTCATGAACTTCGATACTTCTATTTCATATCGCCTTACTTAACTACTTAACTTTATTTAATATAATTTTTAATAATCATATCAATGAGGTCTTTCAGTAATGATATGTTTCACGCTACAGAACGAGCAATTGTGAAGTCAGCCAGCTAACATCACATTTTCTTCACTCTGAAGACTTCGAACACATTTGTTAAAGAAATGGTATGAATAAAATGCACAAAGAAGAATAATTCAGAAGGAATGTCTTCCGAATAGCACGACCGGGTAATTAAACCTGTGGCCTTTCACCCCACAGTACGCAGCGTTAAACTACTCTGCCACACAGCACAGAACTTCCAGCGTACCAACAGTGAGGCGAGTTTAAATGATATATATATATATATATATATATATATATATATATATATATATATATATATATATATATATATATATATATATATATATATATATACACGCACTTTACCGCTGGTGGTACGCAGAGCTCGCGGGTGCTTTACCGCGACTTCTATCACCCGTAACATGGCAGGAAGGGCGCGCCTGAAAGGTCGTAGGCCTGCTGGTTTTCCACGCGAGCTGGAATGCGTGTGCATCTCATATATGTAGCGCCTGTGCTTTGCCCTGAAGGTTGTGATGTGCACACACCTATCTATTGAAAGGGTAGGTATGTACGTGTTGTTCCTTTACCGCAAAGTTTGCGTTGAAGTTACACTCTAGAAAAAAAAATAGAAGGGGTAGGGGGGTTAGTCCTTTTGGGGATCAACTGATTTGCTACACTATCTGTCCTTTTGTGGACTAACTTGAAGTGGGTAAACAGTTAGTTCTTGAAGAATGAACAGCAAGAGGTCTAAAGGTTGCTCCTGATAGGACTAATGGTCACTCCTGTAAGGACTAACAGCTGATTTTTGGAAATGGTCCCTAACAGAGCAAATGTTGCTCTCGTAAGGACTAACTGCTGATCTTGAGAAATCATCCTGGGAGAGGGAATATTACTCCTTCGGGATGAACTGTTATTCTACTTGAACAATTTTTGAGGGACTAATGATTAATCAACTATTCATTAACCTGGCCATCTTCCACAGACTGACATAATATCTTACGTCAGCTGTGCCTTACTAAGAAGAATTACATTCGTGAATGTGTGTTGGGACAAAAAATTGCCGAGACCAATTTCAAGCTAGAAACATTTATTTTCCACGAGAAGTGCGTCATGCGCACGAGCGGTGTTCGTCGTCGGCTGCTGTGCCCTCTTACCTGCGAGAAATAGAAAACAAATTTTTATAAAAAAACTAGCTTGAAGACCATAACTTCATTGCCAAAGCCCCAATAAAACGCAGTTGCAAGCTCATGAAACATGCTAAAACAGGGCGCTCACAGTGCTTTTTCAGCTTTCACACCATTATGTAATGCGCCAAAGTGACGAAAATTTAAAACTTACCTTGAAAATTAACAGACGCACGTCATTTCTAGAGCCAGTTAATCCAGAAAACGATGATCACACTTCAAGGTGACGGTGTCCATTCTTGAAGCTTTGCAGAAAAGAAGCCGCGAAAGAGCCTTACATGTAAACTGGGGTGTCCATTTCTTCGCAGGAAAGTTGTGGTGTTCAGTACATTGAACAGCCGTTCCACAGAAACACATATGCACGCGCGTCCGCAATTCCAGCACATGCGACAAGGTACGTTTTCCCCAGCTACGTTGATAGCCTGTGAAGCGGCACTTGCCTTCAACAGAACCAGGGCAAAAAAGATCACCACGAACGACTAACATGAGCCACACTCTTGACGACAGTGACTGTGAGCGATTCCGAAGTGGTCCGGTGCGGATGGATACACAATAAACACGCTCAAATATCCGTCAGACTTGCATGGTTGTCACCGCTAGTAAATATTGCGAAGTTTATTTAACTATGTTTCAAATCATTATAATGGTCGGCGCTGTGTTCTTCCCCAATAAATTATTGTTTTCTCGCATTATTTTTTTCATCGTAACTGTGAGGGGGCTGAGGAGCCTTGTCATCAGTTCTCTGAACCTCGGAACACGCATTTGCCACATTCTTCACCTCTCAGTCCTCCACCTCACGCTACCACCACCCCGACAGAGTAGAAGGGTGAGTTTCAGAAAAATGGGGCGCACCTGACCGAGAACCAGACGTTCGAAAGGCTACTGAACCGTCCACACAACAAAGGCTGTAGAAAAACGTCTTTTAAGCCCCTACCCGAGGAAGTATGCAAGCCGTTCGTCCTCTCGTTAGTCCTGCGAATCCGCACACGGCACGCTTAGTCTTTTGGTGGACTAACCACATGACTTGAGGACTGCAATTGACGTTTCTCCCCCATTGAGCTGGATTTTTTCTTAGAATGTATAAACCACATGAAGGTCGCTCCGCTCACTGTAGTAGCCGCCATTGTGAAAGTAGTGAGCTGCTTGCTACAATATAAAAGCCAAAGTAAGGGCTTGGTTCTTGGGCATAAACGACGCTGGCGGTGCGCTGCTCAAACACAAATAACAGCTGTGATTTCTCACTCGTTCTGCGTAAACCAGTGCGTGCTCTTCCTGCGTCATTCTTTGTGTTTGAGAATCAATCTGCAGATGTCGAACTGTGACGGCTGTAATTTGCACCCATTCTGTTTGTGTTTTTTTACGTGCATCCTTCGTGCTTGAGTAGCGTGCAGCAAGTTTTGGGCCACTTGCCATTTCTCGCGTGACTTTCCAATATGCTGATCCCGGCGAAACTGCCTTTTTTTCATAGTCGTAATGAACCTAACCACTTGTTCTATCACATTCTCACAGGAAGGTATCATCGACAGTAAGCGCAGAATCAAACCGTTACTGCAGACTGAGCGCTCTTCACGTGGCCAGGTGCTTCACAGCATCTACGAAGTGCATGAAATCAGTGACTATGCAAGCGAGCCCGGTAAGTAGTCGTCACCTCTCTTACATTCATGTCAGCTTGACTAATTGTTCTTAAATACGCATCATTGTTATTCATAAACAAAACAATGAACAGCGATATCGAAGAAGGGGTGCCCTTCAAAAAGAATTAAGTTGACTCGCACCATAAACGTACATACAACGACGCTTCACTGCAACTCCCTTTTCAATCCAGCGCATGAGCATATATCCGATCCTTTTTCTCTTTTTGTTTTCAGAGCGAATGAGTTTTTTTTAAGCGCGCTGCTGCTTCTACCTTGATATTATACGCCGCGACTTTTAATAATCCTTCAGGGGTGCTGTAAAAATACTTGAGATGCACCTCTCTTATTGCTTGTAACATCAAAAAGACAAACGAAGATGCTGATCATCTGATGTTTTCAATGCAAAGCATTTCTTAGCGAACATCAGTGACTTTGAGCGTATCTATCTATCTATATCTATCTATCTATCTAGCCGCTTACGTTTGGGTGCTCTCGTGGTAACCATCTTAACTTGGCGTGAACCAAAGTTAGCATAGGAGGGTAAGATGGTTTGACGAATAAGACGCACTGGTCAAGACATGAATAGCGTCACAATCCCGTCACGTACGTCGTTAAACACTTTCCGCCAGACAGTGGCCACTGGTATGCGGGTATGTGCCACAGTTGATTGACACAGTATCTACCCAGGAACGACGAGAACACAGATGGGCAGTTTTTACACGCAAGCGTTAATAAATACCCGACATCGTTAGCGTCGACCCAACGAATGCAAAGAATAAATGTCAGGGTCCCAACTGCAATCAAACCCAAGCATTCTGCGTGGCAATGAAGCATTTTACCACAGAGCTACGCAAGGTCTCGGAACTACTTTTTAAATAGACGCTTATCTTCGTGAAACTTCAGTAGTGGTTGCAGTGTTGCCTACCCAATTTTATAAACGCCACATATGTACTCCTTTCATAGATCTGTCACGTCGGGTTAACGCCAGTTGTGGTTATTCGCCACTCGCTGAAGTTCATTTACGTAGCAGTGTCCAGGACCAGCATCATCGCGAGCATCAGCGCATCATATCAGCTTCTGGTGTTGCTAATACGCATGTTCCAGTTGGCTTTGTTGCGCAAGTGCAAACAACCGGTTATATAAACATCTGCAACCTTTCAACATATGTCTGTGCGTGCAACATTTATACGTATATTTATAGTCATTTCACGACGTGTCGCTCAATAACAAAACTGCAACGTGGTCACCTTCCCCTCCACAAGCTTCGCATAACGCCGCTTCCGAGGTACATAGGATCTGCCATTTTTTTTGGTCTAAATGTCGACTTTTACTTACGATGGGTATTGTTCAAATCATTCCTTTTTTTTAGCACCAGCACCTGAATCGTTCTTACAATCAGACTTATTGAACGCAGTATCTGGATTCTCGAACGGTGAATATGTCATGCTTTCTTCTTTTATTCGAGTGAAGCAATTAACGACAGTTAAGCTATCATTATATTGCGACATTTAAAGAAATTGTGTTCATGATGTCCACACGTATTCGTGTGCGCAATTAGGGCCAAGAGACGTAGTTTTAAACTGCTGTAAAATAAACTGCGGCCATAAGTGAGCGGTGAGAACAGTCGGAATATCACAGAATGCATTCGGTGCCATTCGATCTCAAAATTAAGTACATTGTTTCTCTATTTGCCATTTATAAGGGGCTTATTCACGAACTGCCTTTTGAATAATGTTTCAAAACCCTGAGTGCCAAGGATCTACGACGTTTGGCTAACCTTTGAAAAAGCAGAAAAGGTATAAAAAATCTTATTCCATTCCTATTGTTTCAAAAGATAACGCAAGGGCAAGTAACAAGCTTCAGTAATCTGCACTAATCATCATGGCGGAATACAATAATATAACATTAGGCATACCATCATTGTTTATCTATTTGTGGAATCAGTTGCATAATAGATAGCACGGTATTTTCCAGCCAAATATTGCGAAAGCTTCAGTGAGTAAATGTGTAGCCACAAAAAATGGGGCTGATGAAACCAGTCACTTTCATGTTCTCAACTTTAAGTATCCTTAAAAAGTTGTTTTAAAGGTTATTAGCATAAGAAGCATAATTTTAGTCAACCGGTTCATATACTCATTCGATGCTTTTAGAATATGTGCAGGAACAGCAGTTCTGACCAGCAAAGCTAATTACACCTTTCAGAGCTAAGCTCACGCTATATATGAAATTTCACAACCCATAGTGACTCAATCTATCAATCACAGCCCCGAGGTCTCTATAAGAATGATTGCGACCACCTGGAGATCTTCATCTTTCGGTGACATGGCGCACTACACTGGCTTCAGAACCGTGCAAATGTGCTCCTACTACATAGAGTCAGTTAATGCTGTCACAGCCTTTAAACAGTATATGCCAACGCGTGAATAGTTTAAACATGATCCCCACAGCTTGGAAAGGCACAAATGTTCTCTTAAGCCTATGTCTTCTCGTATGTCAATCATAATCATAAGTACGGAGAATTCTGTGTGCCTCATTATTCAGTGTGAAATACACGCTGTAAATAGCGATATCTCTTAAACACCACAATTTGTGTTAAATGAACTCACACAAAATGAAGAAAATATGGTATTTGTTTTTTCGGAGGACTCGTTTTTCTATTTTTACTCGCAACCAAAGGAAGGCAACTGACTATTTCTGACATGAAAATAATGACTGTTTTGGTTTAACATTCCAAAACCATTTTTTCATTGTGAGATATGCCGTACAGTTTAAGAATCCAAGGTTTTTTTTTTAATATTCTTCGAGTTTTTTGTCCTGCACCTAAATCTAAACATGCGGGTCTCGATTATTTCACCTACATAAAAAGGCAGCCACCGTGGCCGGTATTTGATTCTGTGCCCTTCGGGTCAGAAGCTGAGTACTCAACCACAAAACCAGCGATTATTCCAAGACCCAACTTGTTAAATGTACAACAAATATCACTGATAATAAAAACCTAAGAAACAAGAGGAGTTTTTATTTTGTTAGAAAGATCATAGATGAAAACGAACAGACAATATTGCCAAGGAAAGCACGGGGAGTGTTGTTTGTATCAAGCATGATACAAATGTGAGAAAAGCCGAGTGGATGAAGAGATAACTTATCGCCGGCACTGTCCGAAGTTGAAACTTTCGAAGGTTGTAGATTCGGTCTCTGCCGACGGCAAGTAATCATTTTCATCCACTTCGTTATTTTCACATTTGTGTTATAATTGCTACAAATAGCACTCCCTATATTTTCCTTGGCATTATTTTCGGTTGGTTCTCATTGTTGATCAAGCAAGTTGCATTTGTTATGTTCTGTAGCATCTTACCCTTGTTGATTTCTATTTTATCAATTGCTTTAAAATATTTTCATGTTACCCTTTTCAATGGTCCCTATTTCTATTAGGCTATGTATTGCTTTTATTGTTATTGTTACTCTGTTTACTAGCTATTGTTCTTACGTGTGCGTTCTTTTGCTGTAGTTTTCCCTTAACCTTATTTATGTTATCATTAGACGTCCAGCAGTCAGTTTTGCTGAATCTTTGGGACCTCCTGCTGTAATACTTCCTGCTTTGAGAACTGTGTATAAACTTAACTTGTGTACATTCATTTGACCAAAAATGACAAAGTTCTTTCTGCTCTCACTGCAGTCGAATGTTTTTGTTGTGTACATGTGCTTCTTGTGCAGCAGTTAACGTAACTGCCAGAACGTCGGAAGCGGCTGAGAGTTTCATTGTGGAGCTTCATGTTATATCGGATGAGTACCACCAAAAACACTTCGGCCCGATGCAAGCCCTTATTGAATACATATCAGTTACTGTGACAGCGGTGAGTGAACTTTACTTTTACTTGTACATCCAAAAGCCGTACAGGCTACACGCACCTGTTGGTCGGCCAGGTTTTACAGGTAGGATGTTCATCTTCCCCCTGAGTGGGTCGGAATCATTCTACCAAGAGTGCTAAAACTTATTCGAATAAAACCAGTTTACTCTCTGCTAATGCATCTAATTTTGTTACATACCTAATTAAGCTGCTGTATTATGAATATTGTGTCAATTAGAGTATGTTCTTTTTTTTCTGCCAAGTCTTACCTCTTACCACCTCCTTATTCCTGCATGAATTTATTTTTCCCTCCACTCTTTTTATCCATTTTTATGACTTTTTCATGTTTCGTGCGTAGGCTGGTGCAAGGCCTCCTTTCTCTGGCCTGTGCAGGCCTGTCCCTTTCTTTATACTATGGGCGGACCACTTTAAAGGCCCTGGCAATCGTGTGTTGCCAAATGTTGGCACCTGATGCAGGCTAGCGCCACACAAGCAAAACCATACACAGCATAACACAGCAAGGGGGCGAGAAAGTGAAATCAATTAAGATGAGGAAGGGAGGGAGATGAAGCATAGCATATCCTTGCATGGCGTGACGCAGGTAGAAGCAAGTATAACATAGCCATGAACAGTAAGGGCTATATAAGGAAAGAGAATGAGGTGAAACGATGTGAGGGCGAGGGTGTTAGAAAAATTAAGGGGAGGACAGAGCATAGTATAGTTGTATACAGTACAGTAATGGAAGTGAGTAGGAAAGTGAAACGAAGGAGAGGTTGAGAGATGTGTTGGTGGATAAGAGAAAGCATAAGAGGGAGGGCATGTTATCTTCTCGCAATCTCCTTCATTGTCGATATCTTCCCAGCCATATGACGCAGCACGTACATGTGTCACCTGGCACATTCGTCACATTTTCGTACGAGTGAAACCTGTGCAGCGGCAAGTTGTTAAATTCGCTGAAGTGGTGTCCTATATTGCTTACTGAAAAAGCGTCTTACAAAAATGAGTGAGTCATTGATTGCAGAGATACGTACACAATGTAGCAAATAAACTAATTAACCCAGTTAACCCAGTCTACCCCGCACCTCCACCAAATATGTTACAACAAGGAGACAGACTCTTGGGGGCAGTTGCAGATGTATTTTCAGCCGGTTAAGCGAGCAGCGCCAGTCACAGAAATTAGCTAGAGCCAGTCTATATGCTTTTCTTCGTCTCCATGCTCTGTCACGTAGCAATATGAAGAATAATTTACAGCATACCTCTTTTCGCAGCCGCATCACCTTACGAAGTCGGGAACAGCGAATAATCCTTATGGCGATTGGTGCCTTGCTCTCTAAGCTTTATTACTAGAGTTCTTTTATTTATTACTGGTCCCTTACAAGAACGGCTGCCTGTTTTTGTGCATTCAGGCACTGTATCATGTACTGTACTATAGTCATGTACTGGGAATAAGGACAGCTTCGTCTTTGATAAGGAAATAGGGAAAGAAAACGAGGGAAAGACAAAAAGAGACCTTAAAGACTGCTGCACTACAGTAAGGAACCGAGGATGAAGTTTATACGATGACAGAGAGAGAGAGAGAGTAAAAATGAACGTTTTTTTTTTTTATAGACAAGTGAGATGTTCACCCTACGGCAGCTGTATTCTATATTCTAGCTATTCCAGGGCCATGGCCATTGGTGTTTGCTGAATGTTTATTCGTTGTTTCTTTCACACAATCGGTGAAAGTTAACTGTGTTTCTCTTTTAGGTCAATTTGAGATTCCAAACTATGTGGGGCCTACGTATTTCTTTCAAGCTTGTTGCGATCACAAGAAGTTACGTAAGTCTCGCACTTCAACAGTGTACGCATTAGGATAATTTCTGTTTTCACGTTTATCACGAAATCCTGGAAGTAGTTCAAAAATTTCTAGTAATTTATGGTTTGATGTTCATGTGGCATCAAACACACTGAGCCATGCTTGAACGTTTCTAAATGCTAATGTTTGAGTATCATTGTATAAAACCATGTTTTTTTTGGGGAAGGAAAGAAGCCCAATGAAAAGATACTGGGAGGTTCCTTAAACAGCAGTCTGGTTGGCTTCTGTACCCTTGTGGAAAAGGGAACGGGAGTGGAAAGATGAGAGACAGAGAGAAGCGAGAAGTGAAGGTTATATCAGCGCATTTATTGCTCATTTCCGCGTTTCAGACAAGTAAAAAAAAAGTCGGTGCATTCCCACTTCAAGTTTCACGGCTATTCTCTCGAAACTGGTGCAGGTCCTGGAGTTAATACTCATTCTGGAGAGTTCATTTTTCTTGGAATAAAAATGGTCTACTCTAATATTTCAATAAACTAGGTGTTCATAGTTAAGCTTTGTGGCTGTCTTAAAATGTAGCGCTAGAAGTTACGTAAACGCCACTGTTGCCGATAAGTTGTGTGTCAAGAAGGATACCATGCGATGCAATTATCAACGCGATCTGCCAACCAATAGACTGATTTAATTATGAACTTTTCTGTAACAACCGCAGGCGGGCATGTTTGTATTAATAAGTTGTATGCAGTCGCATTTCCAAACAGTTGTGACTTAAAATGATTATGCTAGTATGTCTGTGCTCCGAGATATCAATTTTTAATTGTGGTCTGCAAAGTTTAATTGCAACTTGCAAAATTGCGCATGAAAGACCGGGACCATTGGCGCAAACCTCTCCCCGACGTGCCACGGAAATAACGTGTGGCTTTAAATCTGACAACGGATCGTATAGGCATATGCAATAATGATAACATTCACTCTTATTACCAGCTGTCGATATATAACGCAAGGAGTGCTCGTCCAGGGGGAGCGTTGCACCTATCTTCACTACCTTTACATGCGTGTAATCACACAATCCACGACTAAACTTTCTAGCGGGATATCTTGGAGCGCAGACATGCTAGAAGCATTTTTCCAAGGAAGAATGAGTAGAAACACGATTGCCTTCAGCTTTTCAATGTAAATAAACCCACTTGCTGCAGTCATCATTGGAAAGTTTATTATTTATTCATAGTTTACTGGTTGGCTGACAGCGTTAATTATTGCATCACTTTGTGTCTGCCTGCATGCGTAACTTATCTGCGAAGGCGATGTCTACGTACTATACCGAAAGCTGAATTTTAAGAAAGCCATGAAGCTTTGTTTCGAACATCTAGTATGCGCTATATAGAATGTAACCAAAATAAAAAAGAAACGTCAGCCTTGGTGGTGGAATGGCAAGGGTGCTTGGCTGCTGATCCAAAGGTCGCGGGTTCGATAGCAGCCGTGGTGGTCGCATTTCGATGCACGGGAAATGGTAGAGGCCCGTGTACTTCACGATGTCAGCGCACTCTAAAGAACACCAGACGTTCTACATTTCCGGAGCCCTCCACTGCGTCGCCTCTCATAATCATATCGTGTTTTGTTAGACCTGCGTCCGCTCAAGATGGCTCTTCTTTCTCCTTCTTTCTTCCCTCCTTCCCTCTGTCTCGATTGATATGTTGGGTTTAACGTCCCAAAACCACTATATGATTATGAGAGACGCATTCCCTCTGTCTCCCCTTCCCGAAAAAGCAGGCAGGCCTTGCGCCCCTACAGGCGGCAGTTGTCAGCCTATTCCCTCCCTATTTCCTGTGTCTTCGTGTTTTCTATGCACACAAATTGAATAAATAAAGTAAGCCATCTAGTTTGAGTATTAAACCATCATCATCATCAACATAGACGTTGTCCATGAGTACAACAGCCTTCACTGTTTTCGTTTGATCAGGCCTTATAATGCCTTCGCCTTCAAACGCCCCAGTTTTGCCGCAAGAGCGACGCAGTGAATGGTATGGCAACGGAAGAGTCACATATTGAAATGATATACAAATTATGATTGATTGATTGATTGATTGATTGATTGATTGATTGATTGATTGATTGATTGATTGATTGATTGATTGATTGATTGATTGATTGATTGATTGATTGATGCACAGCCTCCAATAAAATAACATATCTCAATTCAATTGGTTGATCAGAACTAGGCAAAAACAGCACGCACTTAACGAGGACGGATAGAAGGAATATGGCACATCACCTGCGCCATGCATTCTTTCTATTTGTACTCTTCAACTGCGCAATGTTTTCGCCTTCTTAGAGCCTCCCCACTCCGTCTTCTCCGAACCCATCCCGTGCACTTTTCGCATAACGAACATGGCTGGCGCATTTCATCTCCACTTGAGCAGCTCTCATCGGCTGCCCCCACGCGCTTTCAGTCACACCCACAACATACGATGCGCTGGTCGATGTTATCGCCCTTGTTCTATACGACCCCAATTTCCCCTGTTTAAAACGTTATTTGTGCTATATTGTGTAATTACTACCGTAATGAATGTTTGTACGCATATGAATGAATGTTTGTACGCATATGAATGAATGTTTGTACGCATATGAATATGCCTTCTGCCAAAGCAAAGGGAACCCTCCTGGTTAAAATAGGGATTTGATTTTTTTTTTCAGAATGATGAATTTGCTACATTACTTGTTGGGGTCCTTGACACATGGAAAACTCTAGAGGGACTCGTGCAATACGTCAGAGATGGTCATATTTACGGGACTTATGATGCATTGTACCTCATGAGCGGGTAACTATCACAGCCTCTTTTAGGGTGTGTACGCAACAGCGATGATCGCAGGCTTGCATGATGAAAGCCCTTTCATGTCGCTTGCCGCAGTAGTCAAGGCGAGTAATTAGGTGCTAATGAATGAGAAGTCCTACAGCCATGCCCACATTCATATAAGAATATGTGACCACCCTGATATAATTATCGTTTTCGCCCAGTAATTAGTCTGTAAACTTAGGTACACAGTCAGTGTCATCTGACACACGTCTTTGAATCTCCTGGGCAACGTTTGAAGACAAGGACCTGCTTCTTTAGATGCGAAGCAGCTTATGGCGAAGTTCAATTTGGTGGTGCGCGGCGCGACCACCCTTACTGCTCATGCACGACAGGTGGCCCAAGCACTGTCAGAACGCGCTGGCATGCGCTAGCGCGTTCCGGCTTCTGTAAGGGGCTGTGTTCGGCTTCTGTAAGGGGCCTTTCCACTCTCTCGGCAATAACGTGATGGCGTCAGAGAATGAGAGCCTGCAGACGCGGGACAGACCCACGTGCTCTCGCGTGGCGTAGCCATGAGTTGCAGCAACGGAAACTACAGTGCATTGATGGTGTACTCCACTTGCAAGAGCGCGCTAACAATCGGGCAAGGTATCCGTGATGAAATGAATTTTAAGTCGACGCATCCGCTGATTCGCTTGCTACTCATGTGCCTGTCAACTCTATGCAACATTTGGCTCGTCTGCATACTTGGGTCCCTTTCGTAGCCACTTCTCAGAGTCTCCTGGTATGTTAGCACCCTCGTGAACAAGGATGCGGTGTCTTTCGCCCATCCTTCTCCTCTAGTGAACAGTCAATAGCGGAGCCGACAGCGCTGTTAGTGGAGAGGAGAGGGGGCTTGAGTATATGTCTGGGAACGTTTATGTGGTTGATTAAATGCGAGCTTGCGCTAACCGACTTCACTACAACGACGTGCTAAATACTGTATTGAAAAGGTTTTTCGTCATCTGGTATCATTATACATCCTAAGGGTGGAATGTTTTCTCACATAACAGTGAACACAGCTGTGATCATGGTGGTGATCATCACGTTATATGCCCCTCTAACCAAGTGAGATACCTTTGCCTTTGTAGCCATTCGACCACCTCAAACTCAAAAAGAGCAGTTAATCACATTGAAGGACGCACAATAGCGTCTACTCCTTCGGTCTAGAGAAGACGCTAGCAATGTGCAGCTGTTGCTGTGAATTGCTGCTCTCTTTCGTTACCCATTCAGGGTAGTGAACCACACTCTTGCATTTAAGTTTACTATTTGCTGAAAAGGGTTAGGTACTTTGCAGAAGTAAAATGCACTATGCACTCAGAAGCGCCTGCAACAACGCCGACCTTATGTCCACCTCGTCCCCTATAGCATTTACCGTTATAATAAAAACAAATTCGTCGCAATGGTCGATTATAGTGATCGATGGTGAACGAGCTTTCCCTAGGGCAGTCCTACAGCCAGTTCTGCTCAGTCTGCAGTAGACTAAGGTATGTGAGGCTCGCCATTATTCGAATCAATTTAACTTTCTGCGCTATTTCCTCTTCGACGTGTTTAAAAAAATGCACCTTTTTTTTACTTTATGCTATTCTTTGCAGTAGAGACTTGGCCAGTATTCGGAGCAATGGCTACGTTGACAAGAATGTAGCAGGTAAGAAAAACGAACTTGAAAAGGAATTATTAAACTTATTCTTGGTTCATGTATATAAAACTGAGATCTTGCATACCTTGTTCGTGGAATACATAGGAACGTGGAGGGCTCTCGCGAGCCTTCATACATACACACACACACACACACACTATATATATATTATATATATATATATATATATATATATATATATATATATATATATATATATATATATATATATATATATATATATTATATATATATATATATATATATATATATATATATATATATATATATATATATATATATATATCATTAAGATCCTATATATATATATCACCAAGATCCTGATGAAGGCCAAACTCTAGGCCAAAACGTCGAAATAAACCACGTTGTGACCGCTCACGGAGGATCTACTTGAATATTTGCAACGCTACGGCCACTAAACCACCATGCCTGCATATAATCGAAATAACGAGCTTGGCTTCTCAGTTCGAAAATATAATGAATGGTCTGACATATCTGGTGTTCTAACATTTGTTATGATTATTGATTGCGTAATTATTGATTTCGTGTTACCGATCACATGTGAGACGCCTGAGTCTGCTGAACATTTCGTAACTGGCGCTATACTAGGAACATGGTGTACCAACATGAGGTACCAGATAAGGCACCGATTCGCCCAAAAGCAAGTTCTTCTGTGAGACGCTTAGCTTCTGTAGCATGGAAACATTCTTAACGCAACCTCACACCTCTAAAAAACGCAAGCGCATGTATTCAAATTTGTGCCGGGCCACATGTTTTTGACCATTATAGCTAATAATCAGCTCTGCTGTAATTCCATACTTCCTAGTTTACGCAAACGTGTGAACAATAACAAACTTTGTGAAACGTCATTTGCATCCCTTAATGGGCAACGACACTGTGTAGGATGGAGCAAAGAACATGGTTTTCGTCGCACACGTAAGGTACCATAGCGCAGGTACGAACAATTTGTAAATATTAGAAGTAACTATGTTAAAGATAATTATGTCTAACTATTACAAAATGTAAGACATGCGCACACCCTTGACTGTCGGTGATGGTTCTGAACGCATTATTTTACTTCAATATTATTAAAATATTTTCAGAGCAACCGCATAGCCTCGCCAAAAGACGATAGACTGCGTGCGAAAAACAGCTGCATAACGTAACGTAGCGTTTCATAGATATACAGGAAACGCTGTCCGCATCGTTCTCAATAGTATTTTAACAATCAGCGTGCTCAGAATAACGTATTACGACCCATAAAAACGCAAGTGATGCTTTTCTTTTTTATTCTAGGACTTGCGTACGTGGGCCAAGTATGCACCATACACGCAGTCGCCGAGGGTGAAGATGTTGCAAGGTCATATGCCGGCGTTCACACAATGGCGCATGAACTGGCGCACACGTACGTGCCCATCAAATGATTAGGGACAATTTTGTAATTGAACACGACGAACTTACTCCAGTACCTCCGTCATGCAGGTTGGGAGCCACACACGACCCCAAGGACAGCAGTAACTGCTCGTGGTCTCAGGGGTTTTTGATGAGTTATGAGGACAAAGGGGCCAACAAGTACATACTTTCTGATTGCAGTCAAGATGAGATACGAAAAGTTTTCAAGTAAGTGGTCAGATTACGTGTAATTACGCGTGTAGCGGTAAACTTGAGGATTTATGTTAGGTATTGTTGTCTAGTTTTGTTTATTCGCTTCTGTGTTTTCTTTCGTAATTTTGTTACTATATTTCTCTATTATACGGCTTCCTTTTTATTGACAAAGAATAAGGCATTAATCTTTTGTCGTTCTTACTTCAATGTGGTGTGCGAGAACGTGGGTGTTTTTTTTTTTTTCATCGTGCTAGGCCACAACTTGTGCCTGCAGTATCTTGTAAACAAAAAAAAAACTGTGCCCAAAATGCCGACTTGAAGCTTGTAAGAGTACATGGTCCGTATTGTATCTCAGGACATATATGATAGGACAATAATGAATGGTACTCTTAAAGTTGTCAAAATTTGTTCATGATCTTTAGGCAGTCTTTCATATGGAATTTCATTCCCGTAGTTTATGAAATCGTTTTATTGCTATTAGTCGGGCAACCCCTCGGAGCCATGGCGCCAAGCACGCACGTTTTTACCGAGAGCTTCCACATGGGTAAACCACGGACAATTTCAGAAGAGCACTAACACTGCAAACTTAAAAGAGCTTGGTACAAAAACAGACCAGGGTGGCCGAGTGCGGGCAGGAACTGCATACCGATGTTCCGGCAGCCTTCCAAACCGCGCTAAATGGCGAACGGGAATGCAAGCGCCGGTGGCGGGTGGATCTTGGGAACCACGCTGCCGAGTTAGCTCGCGATGTCAAACGCTTGCAACAACACCGCGCCGAACGAGTGTCCCACAACAGCGTCCACTTGATGATCGCGGAAGAGCATTCGCCGTGGCAAACGCCTGCTTTCAGCGGGAGTTTCTCCGGCGGCACTTGAGCTTCGGCTGCGACGCCTGTGAGCGCGTGTGGTTCGAGAACAGCCACTATCATTAACGCATTGCGAAACGCGTTTGACCACTCATCGCATTCCTTCATGACCGTGATCATGCGAGACACAATGTGCAGCTTGTGAAATGAACACTGTGGTAAACCCAAGCCAACAACAACACAACTTCCAATACCAAATACAACACAACTTCTATTTCACTTTTTATTGTTACCTTTTTTGCTGGTACGTTCTTGTACCATTTACCCTTTGTAGAATTTTGATCGTATTTGTTTCACACTGTTCTGTTCTTGCATATCATATTTTGCTTCTTCGTGTGAATTTGGGTTTATACCTTTGGTGTATAAAAAGTTTTTGTAAAGCCCGCCCCCCCCCCCTCCTTACTTAATGCCTATGTGGTCATGTAAGGTATTTCAAACAAAATAAATAAATAAATAAATGGTGGTGAAAGTCTTCAGTGCAGCGTCGGGTTGAGCCCACTGCTAAATACCGGGGCGCACGTTTCATCTTTCACTGGTCAACCATTCATGCGGAGTGTTGGTGCGGTGGTCTTTTCATCTCTCAAACATTTCAGACACGTGAAAATGTTTGAGACAAGCTACTGACCCTATTCCACGTTTTATGAAAAATAAACACAGCGACGCTCACTAAACTCACACTGCGTAATCACTCACGCGTACTTTTAACGATTGTTGAGTCTTTTTACATCAAACAACGCCAAGCCACTTTCGAAGGACGTGTTATCGAAACGTAAGATCGCACAAATTACACAACAGACATGTGGTGGCACAAGAGAAGTAACAGAAGATTGTAGCTCGTCTTTACATTTTCCAAAACAACGGTTCTTTTAGGTTGCGTTAAGCCTTCATAGTAGTCCTCCTCTTCACTACTTGTTATGTACATGTTAAAAGGTTGTTTTGAATTTCTCGCAGGTCCCTCGAGGTCACTTGCATCCAAGAAACGGCAACCATAACTTTTTCCACAAAGAATAATGGTACCCTGCCAGGGAAAAAAGTAACTGCAGATAAATTTTGCGAACTCACAATGCGGAAATATTTAAAGGTCAATAGGATCAGTGGTGTTGCATTCTCATCAATGGTACGTGGTCTTTTTACGTGTAGTCAGTGAACATTGGAACCACGTGTCGCTACAATGGCTTGTCACTAAATCGAAACACAGACGCCTTAAGTGCACGGCTGAGTATATTGGGCGGGATGTGAGAACATTCTCGTATCCCTTCTTAGGCACGCCTCACAAAGATGTATTCAAGAGATGTCGCATAGAAAAGTTGGGAAAGTAGAATAGATGCAGAGCTAAACGAGTGTGGCTTATTGGAAATGAATCTCGCAGCATCACTGAACTCACTGCACGGACGCAAATTAAAAAAAAGGAAATGTACAACAGTAGTGCTATCTACATTTTTTTGCTATTTTATCCTGCATGCGTATATTACAGGAGGCGGCTACGATTTTTTTTTCTCCTTTTTAACTGGCAATGTTGTGATGTTCACGAACTTGTGGTGAATAGTTCTGAATAAACGTTTCGCCTGACGGAACTACTATTCCGTACGGCCAGTTATGGGTGTCAATAACTGAATACACGCAAGCTACGTCAATGCCTTGTTATACTTTCGCACTGAAATCGTACAATAGAAAACAACGTAACATGATTTTGGTCAGATTGTCTCCTTTCTGCTTCCAGGCCCTGAATCTAGCCTCGAAGTGTAAGATGAAGTGCTGCTACAAAAACGGCACAGACACATGGTGCCGGGAAACCGATACTTTGGACGGCATGAAATGCACAGATGGAAAGGTAAGTAGCGCTGTCTTTTGGTGAGCAATGCGTTTTATTAAAAGCGAAGCATTTTTTTACACCAGATAGACACCAAAAGTGCTTGCAGTACTTTGGTGTTTATCTTTATAATCACTTCTGGAGTCGAACAGTGGCACATATGCGCGAGCGGGTATGTGCCACTGGTATGCGTGTATGCGCCACACGTGATTGACATCTTGTTTCTACGAAGGAACGATTAGAACACACATGGGCAATTTTAATGCGTAAGCATTAGGAAAAACATGACGTCAGCAGCGTTGGCCTAACTAATGCAAAGAATAAGTGTCACAGTTCCAGCAGGAATCGAACGCAAGCCTTCTGCGTAGCAATCAAGCCTTCTACCACATAGCCAGGCCAGGTCTCGGAACTACTTTCCAAGTAGACCCTAATGTTCGTGAATCGTGAATTGTGGTTAGTGTGCTGGCTTTCTATTTTTATAAGCATTACATATGTACTTCTATGATACAACCGTTGTGTCGGGTTAACGTCAATTGTAGGTAGGTACCATGCACCGAAGTTTATGTATGTAGCAGTGTCCAGGGTTACCGTCCTCGCGAGCACTAGTGCTTTATATCACCTTTTCGCTTCTGGTTTTGCTAATACTCATGTTTTTGTTGGCATCTTTGCGCAAGTGCAAACATCTGATTATACAATCATATGCAGCTCTTTAAGATTATGCCTGTGCGTGTTGCTTTATAATTAGCGTCATTTCATAACGTGTCGATCAATGAAAAAATTACAACACGGTCACCTTTCCTTCGGATGCTTTGCATAACGTAAATTCTCAAGGTAGGTGGGATCTGTCAATATTTTTTTAGGTGAGACTGGAGTTATGACCTGGAAGATACCCCAATTATCAACTTGCGCACATAGAAACACATGCACAAACGGACATAAAGTGCGGCCGGATCACCCCACCCGAAGACATTTCACGCTGCTTCCCTGAGTGCAAACAATCTATTGCAACCGCATAATTACCAAAGAAATACTACGCTCTAGACTTATCGCTTAGAAAATATCTTACACTGCACTTTCTTGTGTTTCCTTGCCTACCGGTGTGGAATAAAGTACTTTCTCTTTCTCACTCGGCTGGGCAATCCATTCCACATGTCAACAGTGAGGGGAAAAAAGCTTTCTTTATACGCATCTTTTTGGGGATTAGAAGGAGACATATTCATCTCATGATGATGTCGATTCTGATGACCCATTTTATAATACGATGCACGACCACCGCATGTATTTCCCGGTAAATAATTGTGATTCGAAGACCTAGGATTTAAACGTTCAATTCATCATCATAATTGTCTATTGCTACACATCTGATAAATGTGGTCTAATGAGCAGAAAGGTTCCACCTCTACTTGCCTTGTTCCTTTTATGATCTGTTCCACTCAGATGATCCGCTTTTTTATGCTATGAAAAATGGTGTTTCTTTTTGTCTCAATATTTTTGGGGACATAGACGATGATAATGTCAGTTTTTCTTTTAAACAGTGGTAAAGATGCGCCGTCACACTAAGATATGCTGTGCAATGCGCAATAATTTATTTGTCTCATCTTTGGCTTAAGTGTGAGGGGACTGCAGCTCATCATCACTTTTGTTCCCAGTATACTTCATTACCCAAACGAATGATATATTATCCGCGCGTGTCTTTCCAGACGTGCAGAAGGGGAATTTGTGCAGATCACAGCCGAGCTGAAAAATAACCACTTGACAACAGTGAACGGCTTCCCCTATAAGATCGTGAAATAGACTTCGTCTACGTTGTTTGCAAGCGGCTCCATGTATTGATCGATCATTCTTCGCCCAAAGTTTTCGTGCACGGCATTCCAAGCAGCTTATACCGACATGCTAATACTGTAAATACAGAATGAAATATATCAAATCAATTTCTTGTTTTCACTGGAACTTCCTCAAAGACATGAATAAATTATGAAAAAAAAATGGGGGAACCGCTTTTGTATTTTATTGTTCTCAACGTTTAAACAATTTCTGGTCACGTTTTCATTTATTCTTTAGACGTATATATTCGCGTCATGTGAAAATAAGGGTTACTCGATTGTGAATAGCTTTGAGAATATTTATTCCTTAGCGGATTAATTACCCACAACTCTTGTCGAAAGTCCGAGACACAGAGTGGGCGTCAAAAACAGACATGTGAAGCCACATTAGCACTACATTTAAACACTGCTGGTTTTATCGTGTTTCAGCGGCATTGCGATGACTATGTTCTAGATAGCGTCAAAGTTACGTAGCTTTCACAATATTTGGCTTCAAGATCCCACATAAGAGAGCGATCATGTTTAACGATGTGCGTGTTTTTTTTTATTATTATTATTATTGATGTGATGCAAGGAGATGGTGGCGCACTGATAGGGCACCGGTTACTCCTCATCCCTTAAAAGCGTTTAATAGCAAAGTTCACGTAACATGCAACTCTCCAAGCGTAGAAAGTCCACAGCAATACAATATATAATTTAACATAACAGATATAAAATATGAGATTTCGAAACAACTTATTCAACAATTGCATTTACGTGCCTATACGGTGATGTTAACAACAGGAAGAGAACTCACAGCGTGTACAGTCGAACAGTCACATAATTGTTAACACAAAAGTACACAGTTCCAGAAATACTCATTGTCACTTAAAAACTGAATTGCACTAATATCGGCCAAGAATGCCACTTTCTTCCAGGAAAACTTTCAATGCTTTTACGGCTCACTTCTGTAATTTTTTTGTTGGCCACGGGCCCAAAATCTTTAAACTGAAGGGTCTACGATCTACAGTGATTAAGGATGATCTACATCAGCGTCTTGGTGTTTCATGCTGTCAAAATTTTATGAGGTGATACATGTCTTCATCTACAAATTCGCAATCGCATTGATTGATATGTGGGGTTTAACGTCCCAAAACCACTATATGATTATGAGAGACGCCGTAGTGGAGGGCTCCGGAAATTTAGACCACCTGGGGTTCTTTAACGTGCACCCAAATCTGAGCACACGGGCCTACAACATTTCCGCCTCCATCGGAAATGCAGCCGCCACAGCCGGGATTCGAACCCGCGCCCTGCGGGTCAGCAGCCGAGTACCTTAGCCACTAGACCACCGCGGCGGGGCTCGCAATCGCATTCTGAAGTTTCAGCGCGGCGAATTCTGTGTAAAAAATGCTTGGTGTAGACATTGCCTAATTTTATTCGATGGGTAAGGGTTTCCACACTTCTGTCTAGAGATAAAATCTCAAATTCAGTTAGTGAATCCATATCATATAAATGAGAGCTTTTGGAGTTTTGGTCAAGTATGTTTTTACACATATACTGAGATACTTTGTCTTTAAAATGCAGCGCAATTCATTTTTGATATTGGAGTAAAAACCAAAGCATCTCGGTGATGTGCTCGCTGTGCTGCTTCATCAGCAGCTGTGTTGCCAGGTATGGTGCAATGTCCCGGTATCCACTGATACATTATTTCATGCTGCTTTCAGTTTGCCTTTGTGAGCTCTTTAAGTGAGCCGTTAACCAGACTATCATTTATTGTTTTCGCTCGTGTGCTGAGAAGTTATGCGCGTTCTTTAGCTGTGGTCATCCTTCCCTGTGCAACTTTCAGCGATCTCGTATATAGTAAAGAAAGAAGATGGGAGGCATAAAGCACGTCACAAATCGCTGTCAATATAGGAAGGCCCTACTAAAACGCCACAAGAAAAGGAGGACACTGAACGACGCGCCTTCTTTTGCTTTTCTTGTGTTCTCTGCCGGTCGCACTCCTCTATCATGAATCAAAACCAACCCACACAACCTTTTCTTGTACTGAAATAGCTGTAACTCCGCTCGTTCTAAACGGATTCAGAATTTTTTTTACCGTCTATTCCTGAGCAAGTAAACTGTGGTATTTAGGTTGATTGATGATGAGTTGGAAAATTGGTTAAGGAAACCTTTGAGCAATCCCCTTTTTGTAGTCGATTTAATCACCCCTAAAATAAAAAGCCAGACATTTTTGAAGTATGAGGTGTCTCCGAAGCCGACTTTTTGAAAAACGGCCTTGTCTTCTTCACACGACTCATCTCTGAATACGCGACATTTATTTATTCGCAAATCGAATGTCGAATTTCGATTTCAGGAGGTCGCACTATGCGTAAGCCTCATTTTGGACCTCTCCTCTCTATGGTCTTGGTCAATCAATTTGATGTATACGTTTTTTTTTTTTGGCGGGGGGGGGGGGGGAAGGGGGGTATTATCTCAACACGATGATATACTTATGTCACACCGTAATGGAGGGCTCCGGAAATGTCGACCATCTGTAGTTCTTTAACGAGCACCTAAATCTAAGTTCACGGCCCTCAAGCCTTGCTGCCTCGACCAAAAATGCGGCTGAGGTTCAATCCCGTGACATGCGGGTCTGTCAAGCACGCATCCTTCCTTGTGAAAATATACGTTTGATTGATTAAATCTTGCCCCACCGCGGTGGCTTAGTGGCTAAGGTACTCGGCTGCTGACCCGCAGGTCGCGGGATTGAACCCCGGCTGCGGCAGCTGCATTTCCGATGGAGGCGAAAATGTTGTAGGCCCGCGTGCTCAGATTTGGGTGCGCGTTAAAGAACCCCAGGTGGTCGAAATTTTCGGAGCCCTCCACTACGGTGTCCCTCATAATCATATGGTGGTTATGGGACGTTGAACCCCACATGTCGGTCACATTGCAGCGAAATAGCAAGTTCAGAAAAATATGTGCTATGAGTGTCTTAGTTGCCTGTCATTCTTCTTTTTTTTCAAAATCTACTACAGTGCCATATTCATCAATACCAATCACTTCTTATTTAGCTATTGAAAAATAGTCTCAAAAAGGGTTCACAAAGCAACACATAACTATCAATACTCTTACAGTGCAAGCCATGCACTGAAACAGCGAAGTGAAAACTGTTGCGAACCTACGCCAACTCCTGGTTTCGTTTTTCAGACTCACGAGCACTTGTAACATGGACGCAATTCGTACCACAAAACGTATATCTAGAAATCAACGTATATTGGCGCCACCTATAAAAGGATACTTCACGTATGAATGCACTCTCGTGTAAATAGCACTCGTTGTTCGTAGCTTTCCAGTTCTCAACTTCCTAGCACTGCAGTACTGACCCAAATCAGAGGACAGGGTGCTTTCAATAAGGAAAGTGACACTTCGGTATACAAACAGCAGACTTTTTTTTTGTAATTGTTAGCACGAACTCTGTAAAATTGTACAGATGTTACAGATGTAGGTACCAGTGTTCCGGGGGTGCTTTAATAATGATTATGTGAAAAAAATGACATTGTGGCCCCTTTATGTCAATGCCACGCATTTCTCTAGCGTTTATTGGGTCAATTATTAAATCTCTATCTCATACGCAGTCGGCCATTTTAAGCATTAAAAATAAGTATGTAACATTTAAACTGCAAACGTTAACTAGAGTGCAGCCCCTTTGTATGCCACACATTTCTCTCGTGCTCCCTGGGTCAATTACTAAATTGACCCAGTGAATTACGAGGCGGCCAGATAAATAACTAGGTAACGTAGAAACTGGCAATGTTAACTAGAGTAAAACAGACGATCATTAGACGTTCAAGAGCCACTTCAACAAAGCCACCACGCCAAAGGCATTGAACTCGTACTTCACTAGTAAGTGTCAGCTATAGTGAAAACGTGTTACGATTCTCAAAGCATTTCGTGTATGCCAACTGTAAAAATAAAACCGAAATCTCACAGTACCACTGGGGGTCAGCGACTCAACGAACTTCTCGATTTTTTCATTTTAGGCAGTACGCGCGAGGTACATTTTAAGGGTGAATATATATGCATATATACACTTATATTGCGTTCAGAATTTGAATGAAAAAGAGCGATATCAAGAAGTCACGGACGAAGGCGAATACGAGGCATCGATCAAGTATATCTTAGCTGGCGAACTCAAATAATCATGCTTAGGCTAATCCTATTACTGGGCTCCGTTGGCTCCTGCTGGGCACGTAAGTATACTGTATGTCCGTAAGTATACCGTACATTCGACTTGACAAAATTATCAGAATGGTGCCGTTTATGGCAAATTGAAATAAATGTAAACAAAACCAAACACGTACGCTTTTCATCCGTTGCACATCCTTCGCCCAATGAGTATGTCCTAAACAACTTGGTAATTCAGACAGTTCCATCTATTAAATATCTAGGTATTTTATTCCACTTTGATATAACCTGGACTAGCCACGTAGAATACATTACCACGAAAGTACTTCGGAAACTTGGTCTTCTTAAGCACCACCTGAAACTTGCAAACAAAGACACCAAACTTCACGCATACAATACTGTTATCCGGCCAATTCTAGAATATGCTTCCATAGTACGGCACCCCCACACAGCAACCCTTAATGACACGCTCGAAACTGTCATAAACAAAGCCGCGCGATTTATTTTGTCTTGTTATTCCCGCTATTAAAGTGTGTCATTCATTAAGAAAAAATTAAATCTCCCCCCTCTTGCCATGTGCAGGAAATATTTCTACTTATCTTTCTTTTACAAATTTTACCACAGTGACTCGCCATTCCGTCATGCGTTCATTCACCCTGGTTTGTACATCTCCTCACGCGTTGATCATGATGATAAAATTGAACCTATATTTTCTCGCACAAAAAAAACACCAATACACACCCCTTGTCTTAGCGAATAATCGAGTGGAACGCTCTGCCTGCCAGCATTGTAATGCATACACAGCAATCATCTTTTCAGTCTGCATTATTTGCGTTTCTTGAATCTGTTGGACAATCTTAGGCACTGCTGTATAGCGTGTCATGCAGCTTTTTCAATGTGCTCGCTTGTGACAACCTTGCTGTGTTATTTCTTGCTTATCTTGGTTCATGGACTGTGTATCCTGCGCATGTTTTCTCGTCTTATTTTCTTGTTAAAAAATTGCTGTTGTCACTGATTACTGTATGAAACCCCCCTTATGTAATGCCCTAGAGGCCCTTAAGGTATATAACTAAAAAAAGAGTGGATTTGCCGAAGTCAATTTCATTTCGTATCGAAACAGCTGACAACCCCTTTTGTGACAACTGTGGTAGCGAGAAGACACTACAAAACATCTTCTGCGACTATTCTCGCTGCGATGCGCCGAGCAAATTACAGTCATGCTAGCTCAAACAGATCGCAGACCGATGACAGTAGAAACTATTATGGAGTGTCGTCCAGAGTGGTCATCGTGAGTGATGGCGACGTAAAGTAGTCCTCAGCTTCTTGAAGGCAACAGGCTTGCACTGGTGGTTAAAGACAAATACTGTTATGATGAATGTGAAGTGCAACTTTGTGTACGTGCCCTCCCTCTCTCTTTTCATCTTTCAAACTCTTTCGTCCCTGTCCTCAGTGTAGGTTAGCATACCCGACGTTCTAGGCTGGTTAACATCCCTGCCTTTTATTCCCTCCTGTTCCTTCCTTCCTTCGAATGAATGTCTTAAGCTTTGTGATAAATTCGTTTTAGTCAACAATACGTATTGTAAAGTAACCATAGATGATTGCAGGCGTGTGCACAGTTTTTCAATAGAAGGTGGCAACTTGTTTTGCTGCAGAGCAAAACTAGCTCTCTCTTAGTTTTGCTGCTAGTTTGCTGCAAAGCAGCTTTGATGGCTACTTTTGCTGCAGATCAAAACTATTGATTGATATGCGAGGTTTAACGTCCCAAAACCACGATATCATTATGAGAGACGCCGTAGTGAAGGACTCCGGAAATTTCGACCACCTGCGTTTCTTTAACGTGCACCCAAATCTGAGTACACGGGCCTACAACACTTCCGCCTCCATCGAAAATGCAGCCGCCACAGCCGGGATTTGATCCCGCGACCTGCGGGTCAGCAGCCGCGTACCTTATCCACTAGACCACCACGGCGGGGCGCATATCAAAACTAGCTCTCTCCTTCGGACAACTGCGCGCACGTGCAAAAGCCAAACCGAAGCTACGTGGAGTATGATATTGGTTTCCTTTTACCCTTTGCTCGTGAAAGCGGACGTGCAGAGTGGACACATGAGCATGTTTTCGCACTTGAAGCCAGACTCTGCCAAACGTTTCAGCGACGAGAAAGCGCTTGTCCTGTATCTTTCTTGCTTCCTGTTGATCTCATTCACAACTGCACAGTGATTTGTAGCTTCACATTTGTCACAGGTCCCGTTAATTAGGGAGGCGATCGCCGGGCTAATTCGAAGGGCCGAAGTATCGCCCCCCCCGAACCGCACCACGAAAGCGTGGACAATTTAGAAGTTGTCCTATTTGGCGCACCAGCGGACGCCGGCTGTGGCCCAAAGAACAAGTCAGAGCCGAGAGTTGATAAACAAAACAGAATTATATTCTCAATAATGTCAGATCAAAAACAATACACAAGTATGCACACTCCACAATAGTTGAGTACAATATGTCACCAATCAAACAACCTACTACACAGTACAATCAGCCATACTCGAAACAACGGACACAGACAACAATATGCACTACAATGCAGTCGCATGCATTGAACAACCAGGACACTTAAAGACTAAAGAGATAGAAAACCTATTCAGTCCTAAGTTCTTGGAACAAAAGTCTGGATGATACTCTTCCGAGAATCACTCACTCAAAGTCCAGTGTTGTTGTCGTTCCGCTGCCCCCGAAGTTTCTCTTCCAGGAAACCTCGACTGCCCCCGAAGTTTCTCTTCTAGGAAACCTCGCGTCTTCACTTGGCCACTCTCCAAGCTTCAACCTTCTTCGCCGGAAACACGTCGGCTTCACACACGCAGCTGTTGCCACGCGTCTTCGCTCGATAGCGGTAGACACATGCTCTTACCTGTAGCTCAAGCATTCACCCCTCAGGTGGAAATCATCCTCTTCTCCTGCTTTGTCACTACGGACAAAACCTTCGTCGACTACACGGCGGAATACCGTACGTGCTCTGGCGCTAACTTCCGTCTTCTCCTCCTCTCCCATCTCGGCTGCTCGATTAAATACCTTCTGCGCGAGATTCCAGAAAGTTATCATTTCGTCGGCGCGATATGCAGCGAAGGCTGGGGAGAGGGCGAGACGGTTTGAAGGCCGTCCGCGACGGATGACGCAACCCGGCATCACCACGCCCCTTTCCATCTAGAATTTTCTAGAGCTTGCTCGGCCACCGATGTGGGGTGAGGAGGTTCGTCGGCGAACCTACGCTTCCGAGAGGAGAAAGGCGCGCGCCCGGGGAGTCTTTGGATGCTTGTTTTCTTTTTTTATCGTTGACCTCTCGGCGCTTCGTCGCGAGAATTTGGCGGCGCGCCCTTTTTTGAGCGCTCGTTTTGTGACAACATTTCAGCAGTGTGAATACTGAGTATAAGTGCTCGTAATGACAAATTCTGTGCAAATGTAATGGGCATGTCACAATATGTTTTTATTACCGCGTCACTATCTGGAAATGGCGTCATGCAAAGCATGGCGTTAATTTGTGCTTTTCCCTCTCTTAAGACGGACCTAAGGCACAACATGAATTTCCCCAAAAAGGTCAGAAGTAGGTCAAAGAACTGAGTAATGTTACGCCCTTTCTTGACATTTGTGAACAGTCGCACGCGCTCCTGGACCCTGCTCAAAAGAGTCTGTAAGGCTGCCCCTAAGCACTATTCACCGAAAATAATAAAAAAAAGATTAGCAACATAACTTTTCTACTTGCTATGGTGTCGAGATATATGTCGCACTTACTACATCATACTTGGAGCTATTCACTTTACCTATAAAGCATGTTGCTCAAAAACTTAAAACTTTTTTCTTGCCTGGCTTTATTTTTTTGTTACAGAAAAACAACTACTCGTCTTTCCAAGAATTGTAGAGGAACATACGGCAATGGGAAATTTTGTGTTGCGAATAAATGACGAAATCACTCTTAATCTCGAAGGAAGCCGTGTACTGGCAGATAATCTGCTTTTTGTTACGAAACAACATGACGGACATCACTATAAAATGGTACGTATAACCCTGAACAAGTTTTTCAACGAAGCGGCATCCCTGCTTTGCCTTTGCAGCTCCGTTTTCAATTTCGTTTAATGTGGGAATGAAGAATGTCATTTACGTTCCTGTTTTCCTGTTTTTGCGAATCAAAGTGTATTTTTCTATAAGCTCATTATGTGCTCGAAACATTATGCTCCAGACAAACATCCAGGTATTGCCACTGTTGTGAAGCCTGTTTTGACTCTACACTTGTGCAACAAGATGTTGAACTTTTGTCATTCAGTATACCAAGTGCCATTCTATGACAGGCTACCAACAGACATGCCATTCATCTCATTGATGTGGTTTCTATCAGCTGGAGTTTCTATCACCTGGGTTTCTATCACCTGGGTTTGTATCACCTTGAGCTGAAATAAGCACAATGGTTACTGCCAAGTTAACCTCTTGGCTGATAGGTATTTCTCGCCGTATGAACAGTTGGCCCACTTACCAAGCAGCCTTGATAGTTTCAACTTTCCTTGCTGTGTGTCTGATAACTGATGCAGCCATTTACTAGGGCGTAATAAGTACAACTATCGTAAGCTGTTGAAAGAATGAACAGGAGCGGGAAGATTGATTGAATGCTAACTTTTTTAGATTACTTTATAAAAGCAATAGAACAAAGCTATAAGAAAGGTATTGTGGAGATTAACTTTTTAGGTTTTAACTGTAGTATAGAAATTGTGACTTGTATTGCAGTACAGTAAATGGTCATGTTTATATTTTTTGCTCATTTTATTTTTAAATTATGTCACATTTGCTATACTGCAGTTAAAATATGCAATTAATGTCCCCTATACCTGCCCTAGCTTCATTGGACGTAGGTTTAGTCAGGTTTTTACTTGGAACAAATCACGTTGGACCATATAGTTTAAACGGGTGGCATTCTAATGCGAAATTTTATGACACGTTGTTACAGATCGACACGACTCGAATTCAGGAACACCTATATCACGACTCGCATCAGCAATCCTCTGTCTTCGTAACCCATGATGATGGAGCGCTCCTAGTGGTACGTGCTGAAGAATATCTGCATTTTATGCTGGAGCACAACAGATCTGCTGCTATTATGCATGGCCACTCTTAAAATTCACACAACTTGGAGACGACACCAAAGTCCTTGAAATGCTGTTTAAAGGCATATTTAAGGTAGTGCACTATTCAAGCAGGCAAGCTGGCCTACGTTAAAATTTACCCCTTGCCTCAAAACAAACCCGGACCAAGACATATGGCGTATTTTAATCTACACGTCCGCCTGGTATATACGCCTAACTTTTTTTCTCTTCATCACTCTTTTCCCCTTACTCTTATATTGTGTGCGCAGTAGCAGGCTAGAGCACACTAGCTCAGGCTAACCTCTCCATCTTCCAATAGATAAGCTCTCTCTACACGTCACCTGCCAGCGAAAACCAAACACATGTTCGAGCAACTGGATATGAAGATAAAATTTATTGAGGTTCACCTCGAATCACATAATTAACATTGCCACGTTATTGTGCACTGCTTATATTGATTGACTGATATGTGGGGCTTAACGTCCCAAAACCATGATATGATTATGAGAGACAACGTAGTGGAAGGCTCCGGAAATTTCGACCACCTGGGGTTCTTTACGTGCACCCAAATCTGTGCACAAGGACCTACACCATTTCCATCTTTATCGGAAATACAGCCACCACAGCCGGAATTGGATCCCGTGACCTGCAGGTCTGCAGCCGAGTACCTTAGCGTGTATCCACACGACGGACCAAATCCGTCTTTTCCGCGGCGGACGGCGCGTCACGTGACCCCACGTCACGGATTTCCGCCATCCGTGCCGCGTCCGCGGACGTCGCGGACGGAAAATGCCACGCTCTTTTTCGCAAACGGATTCCCGCGGAAAAACACGACAAATTTAGCGGAGGACGCCAATACTAGTGTGGCAACAAGCGCTTATTTTTCTGTTTCTCGTGTGGTTTCGTAAATTTAGCCGACGAAGTTATAAGGGTCTGGCAACAGGCACGTTTTTTTTTTTTCTGCTCGTCTTGTTTGGGTTTTTGCGTGGGAAGTACGTTCGACGCACACTACCGCAAACAACTCCAACTATGAACTTGAGCGACGACGCAACTTTTTTTCTGCTGCGCCTTGTTGAGCAGTTCCCCGCATTGTGGGATATGACACTCGCCGAGTACGCGGACACAACAGTGAAGGAGAGTATATGGGAACGCATAGCGAAGGAAATGAACGAGGAGTGGCCTGCGTACGGGCCGTACGATGCCAGTAAGTACCATTTATATTTACTCTCTATGTTTTGCGTTATTATATGGGTGGGTTTCGTGATAATAACCTTCTGGAATGTACCTGTTATGCATGACGTGGGGCACATTGGTGTCTACAAGTGACGGCCGTGGTCAGCGCATTCCCAAGCATGCTACCGTGCCGGAGGCAGGGCTGCTCAATAAAAATGCATTTTAATCAAGGAATCGGCGCGAAATTCAAGAACAGTGTTAATGGCGACGAGTCCGCCAAACGTTGCTTGTGATGCGTAAGCTTGCGGTAAAACTGAAAACATTCACTGCAGTATTCGTTAGAGCACCAGCCACGTTTTTTCAGCATAATGTGTTGTGATGGTGATTGACCGAAACTGCATGGTGTAAATCGTACTTATAATCACCCCCCCCCCCCTCTGTTTTGTTCTTTTTTTTTTACAGAAGCCCTTCGGCGCTTCTTTGACAATAAGAGACGCACATACCGGTTGGAGAAGAAGAAAGTAGAATCCACAAAGAGTGGAATGCCAAGCTCGGACGTTTATAAAGGTCGCTGGCGCTTTTATAATTCACTCAGGTTTTTGGATGCTTCAAAAGTGACCTGTTGGCGTTCTGTGAGCACTGATGCATGCCAAGCTGCGGCGGAGACCATGAAGGTAAACTGCCCTTGTTTTTCGTATTTGTGATGAAGCCTTCTTGTGCCGCGTAAATTTTTACAATATGTATTTTTTATTACTTAGCACTTTCTTATACAGCCTTACAACCTTTTCAATGCTTGAACACACACCAAAATAATTCTACATTAAGATTAGTTGCTTGGTGTGCTGAATTATTCAAACGTCGTTTCTATATTTAAATTAGATATGACCAAAAATTGTTGACACTGAAGTTTGAATCTTGCGCTCTAATTACGCCAAATCACGAATAATGTACCATTGCTTTTACGTGGTTGTAATACAGATTGTAATCGGAATAGATACGCAGATGTGTGTCTGCAAAGCATTACATTTTGGAATTGCGAGAGACTTTGTGCGCCATTTTGTGTCTTGCAGGTACGACCAGACATTGATGATCCTTCACAAACCTCAGACGATGCAGCTGCAGCGACTGACGACCAAAACATTACCGTGGACGACCCAATTGCGGGCAAGGCACTCTCTGCAATGTCCCGCCAAGGAACACAGAAGAAAAGGCGCCGATCTCCCCATCGTTTAGATGAAATATTGGCCCAACGGCAAACTGTGTTGGAAAAAATAGCTGCAAGCGTAGGCCAACCAGCGAGTACCACACAGCAGGAAGATGATATCGACTATTTTGGTAAAGTTGTTGCTGCACACATGCGCGAGGTTCCGAAGGATAAGCTGATCCCATGCCAGAAGGCTATCTTAAGCGCACTTGAAATCTACATCAACAAAAGCGAGTAAGAAAGCTCAACAGATCTCATTTAATATTGCCAGTTAATAAATCGTTGCTTACCTCCAGCATTGTTGTCAGTGTGAATGAAACTCAGTTTTAAGTAAATATCCGTAATTTGAAATGCCATTCATATGACAGCGTATACAAGATCTCGCCCTTCAACTAAACAAACCGCATTTTATTTTTCAACAACTTTATTTTATGACAACGCATGTGCATCTTGCACTATCTTTGCGTAATCTTATGGCCTTCTGTATACATCGGCCTCCAAGTGGGCTGACGTACGCTGCCATGACACAGCACCCCTGCCATTCAAAAATTCGCATAGGCTGTCACGTACGGCGGAGCCAACAGCACTTACTCGTCCGCGAGAATAAGGCTGTGTAGAGAACAGAGTTGCAGTAGGCGTTGTGTCGGCACACGAGTCAGCTGCGTTCAATTCATTGGCGAGGAAGTTGTGCAATACGCATGCTGCATTCACCATTGATGTCACCCGTTTTGGCTCAGCGTCAATCACGGTGTGCAGAAATCTAAACCTATTCGCAAGTATTCCAAAGGTGCTCTCAACTACACGCCGAGCCCTGGATAACCTGTAAAGCATTAAAAAAAGTAAGATATAATTTTATACACTTTACACCACTGAGAAGATAGTAGCATGCTAATGTGTGCTGCAAATCTGGGTTAGCGCACCTTCGATTAAACGGTTAAATATCACATAGTGCTGTTTCAGTAGTGACATAAATTACCTGTAATTAAATATTCTCTTCTCTTCTGATAACGAACGTTCCCCAAACGGTTTCATCAAGTTTCTTCCAAGAGGAAACGCGTCATCACCGACGAAAACTGGTGGCAAGTACAGATCAGGCAAGCTTCCCACCTTGACCAGTTCCGGAAGACCAGCCGACATGTTTGACAAGTGTGCTTGCAGAGGCGTAGTTTGCCAGACGCCCGCATCTCCCTGTGACCCTGGCGCACCAACATCCGTGTACAAAAATTTGTAGTTCGCATCGACCACGGCAAACAGTATAATGCTAAAGCTCTTCTTGTAGTTTCTGTAAACTGTTCCCGTGTTTGCTGGCTTAGTAATTATCACATGCTTTCCATCCATCGCTCCAACGCAGTTTGGAAAGTTCCAGTTTCTACTGAAACCAGCAACGACGTCTCTCCACTCATCCTCGGTGCTTGGAGTTTTGAGAAATTCATTCTTCAGCTCTTCATAAATTACATTACATGTTTCATGGATGATATCATTTACAGTCGAGTGGCCCAGACGAAATTGGCGACTCAAGGAGTGGTGGCTCTCTCCTGCACAAAGGGAAAAAAATACCGTCACTAATTCGCAGATGTATGCCAAGAGTGCCAAACTGTACATCAACGACAGCGAGGCTGTGTAAGAGGGCTTTCGTAGCCTTCGCAAGATTTGTTTTATTAGTGTCACATATGTGCCTATTCAAGACCTTGCTGGCGTTTTACAACACACAACGTAATGCCACCTCTAAAAGCGAGGCTCTCCAAGTCTGAACAGTCTCGGATGCAACAATAGGAGCAATGTTTCGAGTAGAAATGCACAGACGTGCAACACTTGCCTGAAGCAAGGTATCGTAGCGTGACCTGCAGCCTTGTTTCAGCTGATATGGCTCGCCGCATTACGGTGTCCTGTCGTTGTATGCGAGGTCCTACGAGCGACAGCAACTGGACAAACTGCTCTCTCGACACTCGCAGAAGCCTCCTGTATTCTTGGCTGTCGCTAAGCAAAAGTTCACGATAGAGTTGATATTGCATACCCAGATGCTTGTTAGCGATGTAGTCCTTTTGCCAACAAGATCGTTTTACAGGGAAGAACAGCGCTTCATCGTCTAATTCTGCTAATACAACAGCCATTGCAGCTATTCGTTGCTTTCTTTCGACCTCCATATTCACTTCAACTTCAAACTCAGCGTCATAGACGGAAACCTAAACCTCGAATGGCTAGCGATGAATGGGTTTTCTACTTTCAGACTGGTCGCGCCATCTATAGAAAAGAAGAATAAGCAAACATTCGCACATTATCATGAGCTCCGAGATATGGTAGCCCCAGCGCTACCGCAGATCACCGAGCTCATGTATTGGCAATAGCGGTGGTCGCTAAGCCTACACTTTTCAGAAAACGAGTACGGCGCTCGGAAACAGTACCAAATAGTCATGTATACGTTGCCGTCGAAGCTCGAGGACACAGACCTAAAGCCTACACAACCATCAGTTTGGGAATAACAGCCCACGCGATGCGCTACGAAGAGCTTAAAGATTTGAAGCGGGCAGCTCTCGCTTCAGACAGTGCCGCCATGTTTTTTTTCTCCAGCGCGTCCGTCTGCTCGCTTCGTCCGTCGTCTGAATGTGCTTCGCAGCCGGACGGGCGGCGGAACGAACGTCCGCGGGAGGGATTTGCGCGGATATGTCCGTCGTGTGGATACACGCTTAGCAACTAGACCACCGCGGCGGGGCATGCACCGCTTAGAGAACAAACTGCACAGACAAGTGAAACCTGTGATCTGAATTTATTGGGTGGTCAAATAATGCTTTTATATATATGCATGGGTGATCTGTGTATATTACTCCTTGGTATGAATCACACTCAGTGCAGCTCTGTCCTTTTCCTCTCAGCGCCACGCAATAATATAGCAATGAGTGTACATGAACAAATCCACGCAAGTACTCTCCCTCCCGATTTACACTGCCAACTACTTTCCTTCAACAGAAGGGCATCATCAACCATAAGTTGAGAATAAAACCTCTACTAGAAAGTGAACGTTCATCAGATGGTCGAGTCCTTCACAGCATATTCGAAGCTGAAGAAATCTGGACAAGCTACAAAGACGGCAAGTAATTGCTTATTGCGATTTTTTTGTGATAAGGAAACATATTTGCAAATGACTTTGTTTCTGCTCGAAGCAACGTTGTTCTTCGGTATCTCGTGTATTTTTGTAGAATTGAAAACAGCTGATGTAAGACCGTGGTTCGGTGTATACCGAAACTTGATTTTCTGAGTAATAGTACTCAAAATACAGTGGCAACTGTACATTAGTCCCACGAGTTTGTAGTACTGGATGTCAAGTTTTATGTAGTTGTAGTATAATATGCACGCAAAGTGAAAACTGCACAGGCATATACATAGATTTTCTGAAACAACAAATTTGCTGTTTCTCACAAAAGCCGTGGTCTTCCATTCTGGCGTTTCAATTATCAGCAAGACCTAAACCAATCGGAGTAAAATTTGAAATTGGTAATGTTATTGACAAAGTCGCTGACAAATAAATTGCACTTGAGCGCATACAAAAATCCTAGGGGACAATGAAATACCTTCGCACGCAGCTATATTCAACGTCTTTTTTGTAAATTATATTCATAGTGCTAATCAGGTAATCTTTTTTTTATTATGACAATGAAGGCTATCCTTACGGGTGTCTTAGAACACTTCTACATAGAAGGATGGTGTGTTTATAACGTAGTATTAAAAGTGGGCACAATCTGTACTTCTGCGAGGACACATTCATGCATAGAGCTCAAACATCTCATATCTTCGTTCTGGATGTAATTTGATTTTTCATTTTGTTTTAACTAATTTGTTAATGGTCAATATATGGAACAGCAATAATTTTAATTTACACTAAGTTTATTTTACTCTCCAAACGAGAAATTTTGGCGTCATTTGATCCAACTGTGTAGTCTACACAAGGGTAGCAATGGCGTCTGCCGCCAGCTCAAACTTCATTTCGTTTTCGTTTAGCGCTGTTTTATTTGCCTTCAGAAATAAAGCTTGGAGATGAAAATAAAAGGAAAGCTAACTACAACTGAAGCTACAATGAAGAACACAAATACTTACCGTAGAGAACAAAAACTATACACCCGTGTATGCATTACACGAACTCAAGACATTAACCTCAATAGCTGGGAATGACATCTCTGAACTATAGCAGTACGTGCAACTGCCCTTACAGTGACTGGTGAATGTAATCTAGAGCATAAAGGTCTTCAACGAACATGCAAACAACCGAAGATAAACCACATGTAGCTCATCTAGCATTCTCAAACCGACTAGTTTATCCAGTGCCATACGCGCATGCATTTCTTCTCGCAGGTGCGCTTTCTGGACATATGGTTTTGCCTTAGTCTTACTAGAATTCAAGCGTTGCTTTGTGTCACTCACATATTTATTTGCAAAGCTTCGTGGTCGTTTGTGTGTGCACCTGTTCGCGCGTATTCGTCTGTTAAATGGGGATGCATTGGTGATCTATTATTGTGCATATGCTGAATAACAGCCCTGCCGTATAAGTCTACCATGTCCACAACTCGGCAAAACCGGATATACAGTAAGTATGTTTTGAAATGAATTTTTTAGTGTTACTGATATATTTTGCATTATAGACTGCCATAAGTACATCTTCAGTACACTTAGCATCGTCACCAGTTGAAATGTGAACAGAAAGCGGTCAGCGTGCTAGTTACAAAGTATTCCGTGCAAGTGTGACGTGATACGTTCGCATAAACTCTAGCGTGAGCCTTTCTATAACTATAGCCCTTACAAAAATTTTTGTTGAGTGTCTGCTGAATGCCTGTATACAATTCTCAACAGAACAACCAGCAATCCTGATTAAATTGTGATGAGTTTTTTTGATGAGTGCTTGATGAGTTTCTGCATGTATTTGGCCACCGCATTTCTGATTACTTCTTGGTTACTGCATTTGTGGTGCGTTCTTGATTACTGTGCTTCTGTTGCGTTCTTGGTTACTGCGCTTCTGGTGCGTTCTTGGTTACTGCGCTTCTGGTGTGTTCTTGATTACTGAGCCTCCTGTGCATTCTTAATTACTCTATTTCTGCTGAATCTATGAGGTGTTTCATTAAGTCACAATTCTGACAATATCATGCTGAATATGTGACAACTTTGTGTCAACTTGCTTCTTTGCAAAATTTTTCCTCGGATCAGAAATTTCACCCGAGACCATAACAGCTAGGACCGCAAGACGGTACAGTTAAAGTTGGCTGGTAGTTATGCCATCCACTGCCTCTGCTGTGTACCCACAAATGTATGTAGGACTAGCATTTGCATGGATGACAGTAAGCAGGATGCAGTGTATTCAGCAAATCTTCCTTTAATATATTGTACATACATAGTGTGCGCAGCACATCACCTCAGCTCTCGCGCCAACATCGATGACAAGCTATTTTTCAGCTGCAGTGTAGAAGTTACAAACTTACTGCATGTGTAGCCTGCAAAAAATGTGGAAAGGTTGACAGTTTTAAAAAAAATAACTCCACAGCAGTAAATATTTGACATTGATTATCTAAATGGCAAATACTGTGCAGAATGGACCACTTTATGACTGTTCAAGCTGAACCAGAAGGCACTGCCCTACATGAATGGTGGCACATACATGCACCGTAAAACCTACAATAGTGTAAATCACAGTTAAAAACAAAAATGCAATTTGTTTTTAACCGGGATTTACAATATTGTAGGTCTTCATAGCTTTCATGGTTTAACCATGAAAAAAATTAATGTGCACAGAAGCTATCTTTTCATAAAAAGACTTAAAATATTTTATACTTAATTACTGCCTGCATTGCAGGACACCGTTCATAAATGTAATACCTAGCTGCACATCTTAGCGATCATGAGAACACACTGAACAAGGTGGAAAAAAAAAGGGAATGTCACAAGAGCCAATGTTGCGACACATGGACTTGACTTGCCTTCCATCAGATCAACTTGTTGAAACACTACCTGTTCCAGATAGCAAAATTTCAACACTTGGGACAATTCGTTAAGTGCAACAAATGATAACGTAACTAGTCATTTTTACTAACTTATTTATTCACTACCATCTTGCAGCAGGTGTCTTATCGAAGCTTGCCAGCCTGAACGAGGCTTTTCCCCCAAACTCGAGAATAGCACCCTTTTTATCCCTAACAAGGGTGAGTTGGGATTATTGATGATGCAACAGCTAGTCAAATCTTGCATTTAGTAAGCACTTTCGTGACCCACAAAACTTTCAGCCTGGCATTTGCAATTTTGCCATCCTTTACAGAAGGTGTTATTACAACATGCCATCAGCAGAAATAATTCATACAGTGAATGTTATGCTAACAAAAGTCATGGCAATAGTGATTTGAACTAAGAAACAGATAAAAAATGGTAGAGCCACATTTTGCTTTCAGCCCCGCATACACACAACATCAAGACACAAATATGAAATCTGAAACAAGAATATGAAAAAAAAAATCTACATGGCATCATTAGTAACTCACCAATCACTGCGTTGACCCTGACTGGGTCCAGTGCCTCCTTTACTTCGGCATTCTTATTGGCGTTGCTGCCCTTGCCGAAGAGTGATTTGCCACGCATCTCCTCCAGAGTAAAAACACCCCGGAGAAGATGCCTGGCGAACTTTGTAGGCCCATTGCAGTGAGAATGGAGGCGCTCCAGGAGCGTTTTCTCAACCAAAACGCCTCCACCGATGTTGACCTGCATACCACAGAAAGCATCCGTTGAGCAAAAGAGCAGTTCCTTTCCACATAGCAAAGAACAACTATGACGTTTCAATTTTAACATCTGGGGTAAACAATTTTCGGCCACTGTTTCTTTTTTTTTTCAGCTGCTGTTTGAAACCACCACCTCAATATCGAAACAGAACCTGTCTTTTTTAAGGTGGTGGTATTAAAGATGTAATGATGTATTTCTAGGCACCATGATACTCTTTTCAGAGTTCTCGACACAAGCGCTTTTATTTACAGCAAAAATCCAATATATTTAAAATTCATGTCAGTACTCCTTCAACAGGCATATTACCAAATAGCTCAAGGAGTGATCGCAATCATTTTTCGAGACACAAAAACAGAAAGATGATGTCGCAAGATGGAATTCCGGCTGCAGTGGCAACATTTCGATGGTGGAAAAATGCTAGAGGCCCGTGTGCTTAGATTTAGGTGCATGTTAAAGAACCCCAGGTTAGTGGAATTCCTGGAGCCCTCCACTACGGTGTCCCTCATAACTATATGGTGGTTATGGGACCTAACATTTATTGTTATTGTTTTATTTTCACCTCCCATGCTTACCAGACCTTTGCTTTATTAGGGCCAGCCTATTTCATTTTCCAGTTGTAGCTGGATGAGTAAATTACTATCATTCCATTTTATGAACTAGTGCTTTTTAAAAACCTATACAGATATCCAGCTACTTCACAAAGGAAAGAAACAAAATCATGGGGATTGCTTTTAAATTGCAGACACTATGATCGTGTATTGACAATAGCACACGCATGCACACAAACACCAACAAAGGAATGCTCTTTTCGGAATGTCTTATTTTGTCTAGCATCATTAAAGGGGTCGTGAAAAGTTTTTCGAAAATTTTCAACTACATGTGTATTCGGAATCCTGGTCGTCCTTTCAATAATAAACACCGACTCATTTCATCATACCAGTTCATTTAATAGTTATAAAACCACAATTTCGGTTTCCAAGCTCTCACGTCATCCTAAGTCAGCCAATGAGAATTCTCCGTCGTCGACAAAACATGACGACGACTACGCCTGCTCAGCCATAGTTGACCAAGGTTTGCCGCATCATACTGCTTCCACTGTCGCGCCGGAGGCGCCCATGCGATCCTAATGTAGCAGTTAGTAGATCCACTCCGGGTGTTTGAAGCTTGTGAACGCGAACATCGTTTGCACTGCGATAACTTGTACGACACTGTCTGACGATGCACACGGTTGGCACATCCAGGACTGAGCCAACCAACCAGTAAGAAAAAACTACACCACTGCACCTAGAGAGCGAAGGCAACACGGAAAGCAAGATGGGCAAGAAAAAACATGTAACAGAGCCGGGCAGGGCGGAGGCCCGGATGTACTTGAAAGCAGAACCAAGCAGATCACTTGCTGTAGCTGCACAATATGCAACTCGGTGTGCAAACCAGTGGTGTTATTTCTTTATTTTCTAGGTTTCCATAAATCTATCATTTTTGAGCAAAATAAAGCTAACGCTGTGTTTACAACTTGTATTAGGATGACGTCACACGTCAGTGCTTATGGCGGCCGGTGAACCCAAGACAACTGCGAGTTCAAACGGGCGTCATTAATTATAGACTGAATATTACACCGAAATATTTCAGAATCGGCATGTCTAATCCGTATTGGAGCAGAAAAAATTACAACCGGGCAGCTTTATTTTCTTTTCACGACCCCTTTAACAATAGAAAACATGCACAAGTTAACCCAACAGCAAGTGCTGCTGAAGTACCATGATCAGCAATGCTGCTATGTTCAGATGAAAAAAAAAATACTGGGCAAAATAAATATCATTACAGGGTTTTATGTGGAAAAACCACGACAACCGAGCACTGACAAGACAGACTGGGGCAGCAACTCCTATTTCATTGGTAGCGCAACACACACATTGTGAACATTCTAAGCTTAGGCCTCAGTACAAGCCCGTTGGGTACAGTTTCAATAGCCAGAGTTAACGTTTATGGCATCTTGAGATCAATTGTGCTGCACAAGAAAGCGTGCCACAGAAGCAACAAAAATAAAAACAAAAAAAATTTTTTTTAAATTAGGAATACTCGCCCTTTCGGCTTCAACAGCAGGATATGGGTCTTTCTCAGTCTTCCTCAAGATTTTTCTCAACTTTTTCACCATGTCATAGGAGTCTAAGGGAGCACATGAATGCAATCACATTAATCAAAATGTTTGCACAAGTGGTAATTAAAGTAAGGTTTGGTCTGCAGTAAATGAAATTGTGGAAGCAATCTTGAATGTTACCGAAGAAGAGCAATGAAAATTCAGAATGTTTCACCTTTAGAGCACTTTGAACAGCACTTCGTTGCTCTGCTACAAGGATAACGATGTGATTTGCAACAGTGACCTAAATAATGAACTTTTTGTGCTCCAGTTCTAATTCATCAAATTGACAAACACACTGAGATGGACAGTAACATATCCTAGTGAGAATGTGTAAAAAAAGAAAGACGTTTTGGACATTTGTTAGTGTAATTACAGTAAATGATGAACAATGAACTAAGGTGCTGCTATCAGTATAAACAACAAGCCTATTGGTGCCATACCTTTGTGTCTTAGTTAGTGGACCATCCCTTCATGCCTGCCTTACACAGCAGCTTTGAACAAAGGGTGTGGTGTTCTTGTGAACAAGAATGATATTAAGGTAACAAAATGATTAGAATGTAGAGGTGACATGCCTTGTCAACTGCAGAGTCCAGCAACAAAACACAAGTCATGTCAAAGCATCTTTGTTCCTTTCATATGAACATTAGTTAGAATGTCATGAGTGCACATGCAAGAGTAGGAGTCCTTTA